TTACAATATCGATTTTCAAGATATTTGTTTCATTTGATAGACCTTACCAAATGCTTCAAAAAAACCCTAGGTTTTTCGATTCGATTTTAAGCTGTTCTCGAGTTTATGGCCCTTTAGCGATTTTTAAACCAATTTTCAAAGTCCATAAAACCGTGAAATGTATATGCCGTTTGAAAGATCTCTGCGAGCAGATACAGGAAATGTATTATTATATGGATCTATCTCTTACCGTTTCTGAGATAGGAGAGTTTGTATATGGCAGACAAAATCACTCATGCGGAAAAACGCGCATAAACTTTTTCGTATATGAACGAAACATTAGTCTAGTTTGGTATCAAATTGAAGGTTTCTTGACGAGTACATTTTACTTACGCGATCAAACCGGATGTTTAAGTCACTCGTGCGTGAAATTCATTTATTCTCCCCAACCAACGGACCGATCCTTAATCAATACCTGTATCGAACGAAAGGTATTACTCACTAAAATTCAGAAAATGTATATTTTGTAATCGCTGACTCGGATAGGGCACGAGATATGAAGTAAAATCACTCAAGCGTAAAATGTGGATTGACGCCTTCCTTAGTCAATATAACCCGGTCATGTTTGGTATCGTACGAAATGTTTTTAAGGTGCTCTTTATGAAATACGGACTAAAAATCACTAGTGCATAAACGCTCTATTTCTATTAAACATTTTTTCATTGAAAATACTGTACTTGAAAATATAAACTCAACTTACTGCCGTTAAAGATGTTTACTCTTTAAAGTCCAATACCAAATGACTAAATCACCATGCCCCCAAAAATTATTTCGCATCGTGATCTTTAAATTTTTGAAATGAAATTTTTCCAATCTTTAAAAACTAAATTTTTTTTTACGGCTGAATGTAACCAATCAGAAGGGAAAAATTAAATTTTACCAAAGATTTTGGTTTAAAGTGAATATTTTTTAAAAATAAATAGAAATAAATAAAGCCAAAAAAAGGGAAGCCCAAACAGATTTTTTAAAAATGTGTTTAAAAAAAAAGAAATTTTTTTTTGGGGTAAAAACTTTTCACTGGAAAAAGGATTTTTTCTTTTTATTTATCTCCTGTCCACCAACCCCCACCGCCGCCCCGCGCCCGGGCCACCAGCCGCCGCCGGCCCCAAACCCCCCAACCACCCGGGCCCCCGCAACCAATCCAACCACCTCAATCACCACCATGCCAACCTGGTTGTGGTGGGTTATGAAGGGTACGGTGGTGGAATCGGTTGCCGGGTGCCCGGCCCGGTGGGGTGGCGGTGGTGGCCCGGCGGCGGTTTGGTCTTTTTTTTTAAACGGATAAATAATTTCCACGGTTTTTCTGGACCCTTTGAAAAATTGGTTTAAAAATCGCTAAAGGGCCATAATCCAGAAACAGCTTAAAATCGAAATCCCCCGAAAACCTAAGGGTCTTTTTTTGAAGCATTTGGGTAAGGTCTATCAAATGAAAAAATATCTTTGAAAATGATATTGTAAAGTGTTGCATAAAAGCAAAAAGGCGTTTTTTTTTGTCAAAATTTACCCAGCTCATCCTTCTCCACTTTTCATTGGTTAATGGGAAAAAAGTGGGTTCAAAAACGAGGCTGTCATTGTAAATACGTCATCGTTTTTTTATTTCATTGGTTTTTATCAAAATGGCAAATAACCGTTTAAAAACTGCCCTTTAAAAAGTCATAAAAATTTTAAAAGGCGAGGAGTTTAAAAACTGGGGGAAGGGTTAATTTTTGTTATTTTTAAAGTTTTTTTGCATGAAATGATTTCATTGTTTTAAAAGTACCCAGTCGTAGCATTTTAAGACCCTTTTGTTTGGGATTTAAATGCCCATGTTATGTCCCCCGTAACAAAAAAGTTAAGTATTTATATGCCCGATGATTTTTTTGCCATATTCAAAATCTTAAACCTAAAACCCCTAAAAAATTAAAAACCCTATAATAAAAATTTTTTTGATTATGCCCAAAAATTTCCATTGGAACATTAATATAAGGGGTTTTTTTGGGCTTTGAAAAAATGGTTAAAAAAAACGCTAAAGGGCCAAATTTCTCGAAAGGGGTTAAAAACCCAAACGAGGGAAATAGGGTTTATTTTGAAGCATTTTTTTAAGGTTATTAAAAGAAACCAAAAAACTTTGGAAAAACATATCGTTAAAGTGTTGCATAAAAGACAAAAAGGCGTTTTTTATGTCAAAATTTATCCAGTCATTCTTCGTCCACTTTTTCATATGGTTAATGAAAAAGAGTGGGTTTCAAAACGAGGCTGTCTATGGCTGATACAAAATTAGCCCAATACCGGTTTAAAACCTGTCGTAAATTGTCAATAAAATGAGTTTAATAGGCAAGGAGTAAAGACTGGGGTAAGCTTATTTTAGTTATTTTTGTTTTTTCTGTACCATATCGTATTTATATGCAGTGATTTTGTTGCCATACTCTCCTATCTCAGAAAATAGTAAGAGATAGATCCATATAATAATACATTTTCTGTATCTACTCGCAGAGATCTTTCAAACAACATATAAATCTAAGGGTTTTATGAACTTTGAAAATTGGTTTAAAAATCGCTAATTGGCCATAACTCGAGAACGGCTAAAAATCGAATCGAGAACCTAGGGTTTATTTTGAAGCATTCTGTCAGATCTATCATTGATGCGTTGTAAAAATAAACCATCTTCATTGGTCCATATTTCAATTAATTCATCCCCTCCGGTTTATCAACCGTAACAGAAAAGGTCCGTCAATTCTATTAATCTTTTGTGATTAATGAAAAGCTATATTTAGTAACGAAGGATAAAGGGTTTTTGTTCAACATAGTTCCGCTAGGTATTGTAAATCTAGACTAAGTGGCGACTGTACTTGACGGTCGCTGCGTTTGAAAGGATAATAGATAAGAAAAGCTATATTTAGTTAAGGGCTTTGTTCAACATAGTTCCGTAGGATTGTAATAGAAAAGTGCGACTGTACTTACGGCGCTAACGTTTGAAAGGATAATAGGGTTTTTGTAAAAAGTTATATTTAGTAACGAAGGCTAAAGGGTTTTTGTTCAACATATTGTGAATCTAGACTGAGCGGCGACTGTACTTAATGCCTTTTTCTTTCATTGACACCCGCGTGGGGCTGATGAAATAGCTCCTGGTGGTTGTGAAATACCGCGACTAAAAATAGATCATGCGCAGTCTACAAGAACGTTACGCTATGACAGTCATTTCCTTACTAAATGTAGGTAAGTAAACGAGTTATATTTGTATCAATATTATTTTGAACCTATTAAAAAACTATTTTTTATAAATTAAAATGTTAAGTACGTATCTATTTACAAACATTTCTTTTATCTGTCATAATGGTAATTATCTCTCCGTCTAGGGCCGAGGACCTGACCCTCAATGTCCGCGATTCAAGCCCTAAATCGTGTATACGAGTCAGCTCCGTATACTTCCGGGAGATATTTTTTTATTCGCGTTTCTATTTATAACGTGATGATGTCAGTCTTAAAATAGAATTCAAAATGGCCGCCGCGCGTCTGTTATTCAACATGGCCGCCGCGCCTGTGTAGTGAGGTCATTTCTTTTATGCAAATTAGTAGCTATTAATAGAAAACAAAATGGCCGCCGCGCATGCGCAGTCTTGGGGCTAAACCGACCCCTATACTACTCTCCTTATCCGAAGACTGACGGAAAGGGCCGAAAAGTTGCGATTGGTACTTTCTCATGCAGAATCATAACAGTACACGTTTGTGTCTTTAAAAAGAAGCATGCGAGAGGTTGTTCTTTTTTGCACCAGTTGAAGATTTGTTTATTTCGAAAATATTTGGAGATATTTTTGCATAAAAAGCATCGGAGATACTCAAAAATGGAAGTCGCCAGCAATCATTCTCAACACTGTGATGACCTCTCCAATAATTATTGTTTAAACAAGCCTCAGTTCACAGTATGTTCTATATAAACTTTAAACCTTGTGGCAATTTCACTAACACTCTAATCAAATCAAAGTCACTTGTGCTTACAGTATCATCCAGTAAATATCAGTATGACAGTTTTCAGAAATCGGCCGGAACCATGTGAATTTTGTCATGCAGAAAAACACTTAAAATACTTATTCACATAAAATCTGGATCAAAGTTGGCATTTACCAACTATTTGAAACAAAGAAACAAGATAATGTCCCTTTTCGATGGCATTCGTGTTTTCGCCCCGCGACCCCGCCAAGCGAAAAGTCTAACATTAACAAGTTAAAATGGCGGGGCGCGGAGCGAAAATTCGCTTATTAGCGAAGGCGCGGGGCGAAGTAAAACCTCGCCCTGTAGGGGCGCGGAGCAAGATTTAAGAAATAAAACGGCGGAGTCGCGAAACGAAACCATCATAGTGGACTGATTCCAACAAAACTTCAGATTAATTATAACTTGCCCTGTCATAACAAACAAGAGTATAGTAAAGAATTTTTTAAAGGGTCATCCATAATGAAGTTTTTGTTTGTTTGTTTGTTTTGGGTTTTACGTCACATCGACACAGTATAGGTCATATCGCGACGTTCCAGCTTTACTGGTGGAGGAAGACCTCAGGTGCCCTTCCGTGCATTATTTCAGGCACGAACGGGCACCCCATAATGAAGTAGAGAGTGAACGGTCTACAAGGATAGCTAATGACAGCCCAATGAAAAAAAAACATGTATATTGATACATTCTATGTATGAACCTAGTAGCCTCTGCATATTTTCTCGTAATATAATAGGGAGATCGACCATACCACCACACAGCTATTACGAGGTGGCATAAACGGAGTTGCCCACTTTGATTTGTTAACCTCAATTGTAACTAACCCAATATAAGATTTGGTTTTTAAGGACCTAAGGTACCTAAGTCAAAAACAATAACCTTTGGACAATTCCGATCTCCTTTTGAATGTTGTTGATTTATTCCTATCCTTTATTGCTAATTAGATAAAAAACAATTAAAATATCACATTCAGGGTCATTGTATTAATTCTATTTCAGATAATACTTAAAGAAAGACAACTGCGCCAGAACAGGTCAGAAATATATGGAATCAAGGGAGGAAACTGACAGTAACACATACATAAATAATTTCAAGGAATTCACTGTTACAGAAATATTACTGTAAGGATTAAACGAATGACATATTGGCAGCATTTCTAAAAATCCATAACACACGTTCTAGTATATTAGTTTTTTTAGGAAAAGTATATATACCCCGTGGTCTGCTTAAACGGGTAACGTGAGTTTCATTTCTTCCGAAAATTAAGATATCAGAAAGGAATGCTTTGTAACTTGATTGGGAATATGTGAGCATAGACCTTCACTGTACGAAACAATAAAACATATTATTAGATGAGTACAGACACAAGAAGACAGAAGGGTCTGCGAAAATGGATGACCTAGAAGGGACTGTGCAAGTGGATGTCCTAGAAGAGAATGTAGAAATGGATGACATAGAAAAACATACTGTGGAAATAGATAGCAAAATAAAACATACTCTGAAAATGAATGACCTTGAAAAGAATGAAAAAATCGATGACCTAGAGGAGATTGAGAAAATGGATGAGATAAAAAGGACTGTAAACATGGATGACAGGGACGTAAATGTGAAAATAGATGACACTAAAAAGGAAACTGTTACAATGGATGGTCTAGCAGAGAATGTTGATAACATAGAAAAAGAGACTGTGAAAATGAATGGCAAAGAAATGACTGTTGATATGGATGACCTAGACGTGGCTGTGAAAGTGGATGACGTAGAAGAGAATATAAAAGCGGATGATATAGAAAAGAATGTAAAAATGAAAGACACAGAAAAGACTTTGAATAGGGATAATTTAGGAAACACTTTGAAATTGGATGACTCAGAAAAAACCTTGAAAATAGATGTAATAGGAGAGAAAGTGAAAATGAATGACACAGAAAAGACTGTGAAAATGGATGACAAATTAGAAACTGTGAATTTGGATGACATAGAAAAGACTGTGAAAATGAATGACATAATAGAGACTGCAAAAATGGTTGACACAGAAAAAACTATGGAAATGGATAACATAAAAAAGAGTTTAAATATGAATTACATAGAAAAGAATGTGAAAATGAATGACATAGAAGAGAATGTGAAAATGAATGACATAGAAGAGACATTAGAAAAGGATGACACAGAGAAAACTGCTGAAAATGATAACCTAGAAATTAGCGACATAGAAAATGGTTTGAATATCGATGACCTAGAAGCGAATGTGGAAATAGATTACATAGAAAAGAATGTGAAAATGGATGACATAGAGAAAAGTTTGAAAATGGATGACATAGAAAATAATGTGAAAATGAATGACAAAGAAAAGAGCTTGAAATCAGATCGCCTAGTTAATAGACAGGAAAATAATTTCACTTGTGGAACATGTGGCAAACGTTTCAGATATAACAGCCAACTTAAAGCCCATATTCCAACTCACTTGGATAAAAGCTCTCGACCATATAAATGTGAATTTTGCCCATGTTCTTATGCTATACCATGTAGGTTAAAAGCTCATAGGATTAAGCATACAGGAGTTATCCCACTTGATTGTGACTACTGTAAAAAGTCATACACTGATAAAGCCGAATTCATACAGCATATGAAACTGCATGATCATGAAGACAAATATTTTTGCACTCTTTGTTACAAAAGGTTTAAGAAAATAAATTCACTAACAGGGCATTACAAGTCCCACTATAAACCAAGGGAACATAAATGTGATATTTGTCTGCAAGCCTTCCTGTCCGGGAGTCATTTACAAAGGCATAGAAACTCAGTTCACCAAGAAGCAGAAAGGAAAGTTTGTAAACTGTGTAATAAAACATTTTCCTGCGATGCCTCCTTGAATCAACATATGAAGCGTCACATATCAGAAAAAGATTATATGTGTGATATGTGCGGGAAAAAGTTCAAAACGTTTCAAGATGTTAGAAAACATATATCATCCCATGTGTTATCAAAACTTTTTGATTGCACTATATGTGGAAATTCATTTGCAAATTACGAAGTGTTAAAGAAGCATCTACAGACTCACGATACATCAAGAGAAAAGACGTTTAAGTGTGACTTGTGCGGCAAAGCTTTTATGACTCATGGTAACCTTAAACAACATATAAGATATCATGGTGCGAAAAAAGACGCAAAATGTAATGTGTGTGGCAAATCATTCATGAAAAGAGACTTACAAAAGCATTTAAGAATTCATTCTGAATGTTTACACAAGTGTTATGTTTGTGGAAAAGAATTCCATGCTCCAGCTGATTTACGTAGGCACATGTTTATACATACTGGAGAGAAACCTTACGTTTGTGAATACTGTAACGCGGCGTTCAATTGTAGCTCAAATTTGTGTAGACACAAGAAATATAAGCATGCTGTATCAAGGCTTTACTTGTGCAATATTTGTGATAGGACGTTTAAAACAAAGAATTGTCTTCACAGTCACAAGAAGACTGGTCTACATAGGAATACTTTAATCTTGCTTGGTAAAAACACATAAACTTTTTTGTTATGACAACATCTTGTTTTAAATACAATGGCAACATCATGTTTTAAGTACAATGACAACATCATGTTATAAGAACAATGGCAACATGTTATAAGAACAAGGACATCATGTTATAAGTACAATGGCAACATCATGTTTTAAGTACAATGACAACATCATGTTATAAGAACAATGGCAACATTATGTTTTAAGAACAATGACAATATTATGTTATAAGAACAATTGCAACATTATATTTTAAGAACAATGACAACATCATGTTATAGGGTAATAGCAACATCATGTTATAAGTACAATGACAACATTATGTTATAAATACATTGACAACATCATGTTATAGGTGCAATAGCAACATCATGTTATAATCGTGTTATAAGAAAAATTAACATCATGTTTTAAGTACAATGGCAACATGATGTTATAAATACATCATGTTTGAAGTTCAATGGTAACATAATCTTATAAGTACAATGGCGAAATCATGTTATAAGTATAATGGCAACCGCATGTCATAAGAACAATGACAACATCATGTTTTAAGTACATGGGCAATATTATGTTATTAGAACAATGGAGACATCATGTTATATAAATACAATGGCGACATCATGTTATAAGTCCAATGGCAACATCATGTTATAAGAACAATGACAGCGTCATGATACAAGAACAATGGCAACATCATGTTTTAAGAAAAATGGCAACATCATGTTATAAGTACAATGACAGCATCATGTTATAAGTACAATTACAACATCATGTCATAAGAGCAATGCCAACATCATGTTATAAGAACAATGGCGACATCATGTTATAAGTACAATGACAGCATCATGTTATAAGTACAATTACATCATCATGTCATAAGAACAATGGCGACATCATGTCATAAGAACAATGCCAACATCATGTTATAAGAACAATGGCGACATCATGTTATAAGTACAATGACAGCATCATGTTATAAGTTAAATTACAACATCATGTCATAAGAACAATGCCAACATCATGTCATAAGAACAATGCCAACATCATATTATAAGAACAATGGCGACATCATGTTATAAGAACATATATAATCAACTAATGTTTATGTCATTGAAATATTTGACATCAGTTGACAGGGCTTCTATTAAGTTTCAAAATTAAGAAGTCAAAAACCACAAAACCACTGACATTGGAAGTCACATGATATAGGAAAAGAAGGAAAAGCATTTGAAACTGGAAGTCACAAGCCAAAATCAAGGTGTTAGTGACTCCAAAACTTGCAATAATGGAAGCCTTGATTCTGATGCATGATAGCCAAACAATATAGCTACCAGAATAGCCGATAAATTGTGTATAATTATAATTATTACATTTGATTTACATTCGGATATAAAAGTTTGGACAATATTGCTTTTTCATTGTCATTACCGCGTTTATAAAATCACCGTATTTTAATTTTGAAATAAATAATTTACTTCCTGTTGGTTTGATTTAAATCATTATGATATTAAAATGTTATGCTGATGTATATATTTGACTGTAGATTTATTCATTTAATAAATTTGGAAAATTCAACATTTGTTCACAATTATTAAATTGTCTCTTATCACATAGTTGTATTTATATTTTTGCTAGTGTATAAAAAAAACCCGTTTTTTTCAATTGCTTATAAAAATAAGATATGCTCGGTGTTACATGGCAATTTATCATAATTATAAAACAAACTTACAGAGTTAAACTTTAAAATAAAGACAATATTGAATAGCAAAGATAATTGCACGAACATCATGAACATCGGCATGATAAAACGCTGTCAAAATATGTCAGTTATGTCGGCGTTACCGTTGCTGTTACCGTCCGTATGCTCTAACGTTGATCAAAGCTTTTCAATTTCTTGGTATATTGGGTAAATTGCTTTCTTTCTTGCCCATAACACTTGTTTCAGGACCTTCAAGCAGACGAAACTAAACGTGACCTTCAATTATAAATCATGAAGGTCAAGGGACTAAATTTTGCTTAATTTTTGCTAGATCTATAACTTTAACTTCTCCTCAAACGTTTCAGGGTGTGTGTTGGGGGGGGGGGGGGCGGATGGAACGTAAAACCCCTCGTTATCAAAAACTTTCTGTTTTCTCCTCGATAAAGAGGGGTTTAATCCCTTAAAACTTTGGAGGTTGAAACATTGTGGAGTAAATGATTATAAATTAATTGTTCAGAATGATTTTATAACCTTTACTTTCGCATTTTTGAATGGATTGTCTTCAAAGTTGAACAAAACAATATTTCATGAAAGAATTTCAAGTTAGTAAAACAGACCTTGCCTTCACTGAAAAATAACCTTAACTTTGAATATCAAATTATTGAATTTGCTGCTCTTTTTATTGCTTTAACTGGTTATAACTTTAATTAATATCTATGAATGGATTTACTTCATATTAAGATACAATATAATTTAGGGTAAGGTCTTTGTGTATATCAAACTCAAATAAATATCTTTCCCCTCTTTTTAATTATCGATAGTGCATAAGATAAGTATAATTATGCAAAAAATGGTTTACAAAACATTCGGAAAAAATCTACAATAGTGCTGAATAAAACATGACCTGTGTGTAGGAATAATTTGGTAAGGTATCTGTAATGAGCCCATTTTTTTCGCGGAGCTTCTCATTTGCTGCATTGCAGCATGTTTACAAGTGTTAAACAACAGTTAGCGTCGTTACAAACCCTAATTTAGAATAATATGGTTTTCTTCAGGCCATTTACATTTAAATTCACCGTGGCCGAGGGGTTTACGCGCTCGCTAAGGAAGCGAGAGGTCTGGAGTTCAAATCCCAGAGCATATAGCGTTGCACTTGTCCGTCCGTTCGTCCCGAAATCTTGTGAACGCAACTCCTCTTAAACCGGATGGCAGATTTTGCTTAAACTTTCAGGGATGAATAGCCTTAATGTGTCGATGGTAGTAAAGGAAGGAATTTTGTTGCGACCAAATTTAACAGAATTATGGCCCTTTGTTGATTTTTTCAATATATACCATGTAGAAATTTTGTGAACGCAACTCCTCTTAAACCGGATGGCAGATTTTGCTTAAACTTTCAGGGATGAACAGCCTTAATGTGTAGATGGTAGTAAGGAAGGAATTTTTGCTGCGACTAAATTTAACAGAATAATGGCCCTTTGTTGATTTTTTTCACTATAATTATACTATGTAGATATTTTGTGAACGCAACTCCTCTTAAACTGGCTGGCAGATTTTGCTTAAACTTCGAGGGAGGAACAACCTTTATGTGTAGATGGTAGTAAAGGAAGGAATTTTTACTGCGACCAAATTTACCAGAAGTATGGCCCTTTGTTATTTTTTTCACTTTATACCATATAGAAGTTTTGTGAACGGAACTCCTCTTAAACTGGTTGGCAGATTTTGCTTAAACTTCCAGGGATGAACAACCTGAATGTGAAGATGGTAGTAAAGGAAGGAATTTTTGCTGCGACCAAATTTACCAGAATTATGGCCCTTTGTTGATTTTTTCACTATATACCATATAGGAATTTTGTGAACACAACTCTTAAACCTGATGGCAGATTTTAATAAAAAATTCAACATAAAAATCTTACATACAGATATGCGTGCTCTTGTTTACGAGCACATCTGCACAGTTGGGGCATCAGTGTCCTTTGGACACAATTCTAGTTTTTCAAATTGTTTAAGTCAAATAAACATTGGATAGAATATCAGTGTTGCAATTCGTCTTATACTACAATTAAAACGCTGGAAAGCATTGGTGGCACTTTACAAAAACAAATTGTTTTATAATCTCACAACCTTCATCTTTCTAACATTCTGAGACCCAAACAAATTCAGCACCTTCTGTGCTTTGATTTGGTTAGTTGGTCGTTCGTGTTGGTCAGTTTTTCATCATAATGATTAAATTACATTTAAATGAATGATGTCATAAACAAATGCTTATTTATATGCTATGATACTGTTTTTATTATGAAGTGCGATTCTATTTTCATGATGATATGCTAATAAATAAATATAGTTCCATAATTATGTGTATTATATACAGTATTAATGTATTTATCAACTCCTATATTTAAGTACACTGTCTTTGCCACAGTTCGCCTTAACATGCCTTAAAATACTCTGATGCCCATGTCATGCAGATAACACTTTTATATTTGGAACATCTGATAAGAACACCTAGTAGTATGGTTCTTTAATTTCATTGATAATACATTTGATATAGTTGTGAATGAGGTCACTTTTGTTTTAGTTCATTTTTAACGTTTGAACAACAGACAAAAGGGATGTATCAAAAGTTTTGTAACGACGTTGGTAGAACGTCATAATACTTATAATGAGCATGATAATATGCAAAATTTAAAGTGAGCTAAGTTTTCACCGACATGGTATGTGTGCCTTAAAACGTAACAGTGACGAGACCTAAGTAAAAAGTAACCAAACGTCTTCAAAATATACATGCATTTAATCTCTCTGAAACAATGTTGAAATGTGCTTTTCTAATTACATGTAATTAGTTCTATGGCTCTACCTTATGGTGGCTGATTTGGTACACTTTGTGCGTTGCGTTGTCGATAGCGATAATAAAACCTATATCGTTATCGCTTTTTCGTCTTGTCGTCCTGTCTTTAGAGGAGCACGCCAAACGGTGTCGTGCGGTGCGATGTCGCCCTGTCGCTTGGCTTATAAGCCAATCCTTCGATTTGAGCGGAGCGACAATGTGACATCGCAACAACACGCCGCAAGACAACGCGCTGTTTGGCATGCATTGTTAGCGACAAGACGACAACGCGCCGTTACGCTAGCGACAACATGACGCATAAAAGCGTTCCAAATCAGCCACCATTCTAGCTACGATAATCTAGGATAACTGTACACAGTTATATTCCCGGTCACAGTCAATCGCATCTTCTCGGCTATTTCCGTCATTTGTGTATGTAGTCAATGTTTAATGGGGGTCCATCCGCCCGCAAGGACACAAAAACAGCTTTCACTGTCGAGTACGGACGCCTGTTATGTTACCAGTCATGCCCTAAAAGGGTACCGCTAATTTTGAAGCAAAAATGGTGATGATTTACTTTCATGCAACTTTCACGAAATATTAGCCAAATATATGAATTTGAAGCCAAAAGAAGGTCACTGAACGGCGGTCAATGAGAACTTAAATGTACAGTAACCTGAGACAATATGAAAAGGAGGTATCCTTGAAAAGGGCTGTTATACCAGCTAAGGGCCTGCCTTTTAAGCGACCGTTCACGCACCCTCGTCGCCTCTGTCTTCTTATCGTAGGATCACACCCCTCGGTATTAGTCAGGACACTGGCAGCTGATTCTGATCTTTTTATCACAAGTCTTGCAATCTTCTGCCGATGCCCTGTGAATTCTCAGCGACGAGCACGCTTCGAACGGAAGTGAGAAGGTCCTTTCCGTCATACTTCAACATCTGGTTTTGTTTTGGTTTTGGTAGAACTACTTTCAATCCGATTCAATTCAAGATGATAACTTTTTTACTTGAATAATATGCCAGTGATAATTACTACTGTATATGTGTATATACAAAATATATGCGTATGTGTATAATTAAATGTCAAAACTCGAACAATAATCATATATATGTTATTTATGAATACTCATAGAGTTGCTAAAGAAAGTTAACATTTTGTTTTTTGGAAATCCTGTGCACATACATCATTAGCAAAATACATGTAACAAAATAGTGGCAAATTTGAAATCTAAACTTGCAATATGCATTTACCATACGAGGGTTTACTTTGTATGGAAATTTGACGGGTATTTAATAAGAAATTTGGTAAATATGTAAATATCGGAAGGATGAAATTATGAGTTTAAAGGTTCACACATTCGTGTCCGGACTGTAACTTTGTCATGCATTGAAGGATTTTAAAATAACTTGGCTTAAATATCAACCATATCAAGATCACATATGACACGTCAAAGACCATGGTCCTTACCTGTAAGTTCAAGGTCACACTTATAGTTTGAAGCGACACGAGAAAAGAGTTTGATGGTACACATTCATGTCCGGAAGGTCAAGGTCACACTTTCAGTTTTAAGGTTCACACTCTCACAAGTAGACTTTACACACATTTTTGTCTGGACTGTAACTTTGTCATGCATGGAAGGATTTTTAAATAACCTAGCATATATATGTACCATATCAAGATGACGTGTCGCATTCAAGACTCATGTCCCTACCTCCAAGGTCAAGGTCACACAGTTTGAAGGTACTTATTCTCACAGGTATACATGTGTGTTCGGACTGTAAGGACTTTGTAATGCATTGAAGGATTTTGAAATAACTTGGCATGAATGTCTACCACATCCAGATGATGTGTCGCGTCAAAAACCCATGTCCTTTACCTCCAAGTTCAAGTGGTAAGTTTGCTATGAATGGCACTTCACTTCACAATAACAATATTGAGCACTTAGTTTCTTTTCTTTTCATAATACCTTTCTGCTATTCTTAGGAAACCGATTCCGAGGCATTCGTCAATTTTGAGTGGCAGCTCTTGTTCTTAATTTGTTTCTTGTTGTTTTTGTCCATAGAGGTATCCATTTTGACCTTTCTTTCAATCATTAAAATTGATCTCTTTGCACATCCCCTTTGGTTATAGTGGATTTAAAGATTTTTATTTCCGAATATATCCTATCAATATAATACAACACATCCGATGCGGCATACATCATATGTCATAGTGTATAACCGGGTATGAGGATGACCTGAAGTTATAGCAGTGAGTAAATAAATAGTGATTTTAGGTAAGACCATAGTTATATTTTACTTGTAAAAAGTTTGCATCTCGTGTTCACTCTTTAAGTATGGAGGATATTAAAGTTTGTTTTTCTCAATAAATTCAGGATTTTTGTTCATCGAGTGGTATGAAAAAAAAATTTAATGAGTGGTGGTAGCCACCAGTGAAATATGATGATTTTCATACCACAAGATGAAAATAAATACTGTATACATTTGTATACAGCTATACAAAAATCTTGAATTATAAGACATCAGTGAAAATACGGAAAATATGTTTCACTGCATTGAAAAAAAATTACAGTGAAAATATGGAAAATAAGTTTTACTGCATTGAAAAAAAAATTTACAGTGAAAATACGGAAAATGAAAATACTCATTTTATGTCATCAATATTTCTCAATATTTCGTTTATAAGTATTTAATAAAATTTTGTATCGGCCCTCTCGAGATTCGTGATTCTAACATGTAAATAGGTTAAGATAATTTCACTTGACATGGCATCAAAACCGAAAACTATGGCTGGAACACACTTTCTCGCATTTCTTACTGTCTTTAATTTTGCCGCTTTGGTGTGTGTCACTATTTATCACATACATTATGAAAATACCAGTCAGGTAAGTTTGATTCATCATATTTCAAAAACATTGATTTGTTTGTATTAAATTATGTTGTATTATAAAAATTAGGTCAAAACTTTATTACGATGTCTATCAGTTATGTAATAAATTTTTAAACTTAATGAACTATGTCATTTATATAGTTATATAAATATAACTATCTAAATTATCTGTACACTAAACGGTAAAACCATTTGTAGAATAAACATAAATTTGCTTTCTGATCTTTTTGTGTGACCAGTTAAAACGTTCATAGTGTTTTCACTTTCAAAGGTTTTTTATGGCCCATTTTGATGACTGATATTGGGTCGTGTTCCCAATGTCAAAATGTATGTTTTTATCCTAAATTCAAGAAGAAAGTTCCTAATTGTGAAGGAACAAAAACTGAAATAAGTAAATGTATTGTCATTTTGTCATGTTTAACTGCATGCACTTGTAATGCCATAGAAGAATTGTAATCTTGCATTGTAATTTGTGTAATTTGTGCTAATGAGTAAAATATTAATATTTCTGGAATTAAATTAGCCAAATATTTGATTTCTTTGTCCTGATTGATGTATACAAATTGCGTTGTCAGGTTTTCCCAATTTGTCTAAAACGTTGTAAAAAATCCAAATTCTAGGGGTCTGTTCATTTTCCCAAAGTGCTGAGGAAAAAACGCTGCTTAAAGTTAATGATGTATGGATGTATGTCTAAATGAAGAGAAAGACATTCACAATGCAATACCTATGATTTCTTACATGTGTACACAGATTATTAAAGAAATATTATTGTGAGAAACAACAATGTACATGTAGATCATTAAAGGAACTCCACTAAGGTAAAAAAAAATTTGAATTTCTTTCATAGATCAGCTGGGACTCTTTAAAACGGAAAGATAATGCAAAAGTTAATAAAAAATATGCTCAAAAATATATTGAGAATCGTATTTTCAGATTTGATGGAAAAGCGTTTAAACGCTTTTCAATTTTGAGTCATTTTTAATAATTAGAATAAATATTCAGGAAAATAAGAGTGGACAAATGATCTGCATTTATGCATACAAGTTATTGGTCTAAAACGCTACATCAAATGGAGTATTAATGTCAAAAAAATATTTTCAGTCCAGTCATGTCAATTAGACCTCAGTGAAGTCCCTTTAAACAACTAAAACATGGCGAAATAGCATACGTATACGTTATTAAATTCTATCGGACAGGAATTTCAAGTTGCATGCCTCTAGATCATGTAGATAAACCTTGATATTTTTAGAAAATCCATTTTGAGAACAATGTACTAAGATTTGAGGAAAGTTCAAAGATTCAAGACTCGAATAATAATTTCCATGTTTCGTGGGATTAATGATTGACTTCATAGCACTTATGGTTTTATTACTATATTTCTACTGTGGGTGTAACGCAGAAAGATCATTTGTTGTTTTTAATATATTTCTTCCCCTATTTTGTAATATATGTGGAATGTAAGTGCCATTATCTTTAAATTCTTTGTTTTCTTTGTTCACAAGATTTTCATTTTAAATACATTTTCAAAATTTTCATGAAAATTAGAATGCTAATTTAAGTTTCTCTATATAGAAAATGTAAAAATGTTAATGTAAAATCATCCAATAACTGAGTTTCTAACCAGAATCTGGAGGGATCTTGCTTTAACATAACTATAAACATCAGAATATTTTGTATAAAAGGTAGAAGCGACATCATATGATTATTTTATTACATCATAATTTTGAATAGTTTTTTAGAAATGTTTTTAAGTTACTCTCCCATACAAAATGGGTCTGAAACACTAACATAATAAATGTTTACAGTTATTAAATACGAATATGATCAGAAGTAAAATTTGCTGTTTTTAAGAGATATCTGTGACCTAACGGTTGTTAAATTTTGCTTCACTTGACATAGATATAAACAACTCCTTTATCACACCCATGAACATGTTATAAGAACGACATCTTGATGTACAATATGTAAATAGAACTTACTATAATTATAAATGTCAGTTTTAAACTGGATACAACGATATATGTTCTTCTTTTTTATCTCGTTTTAATAGACATAATTTTCTATGATATATTGTGCAGCAATCAAATGCAGGATAAAAAAAACCCAAATTAAGCGTACAACTGTTTTACCCTACTTGCATCCAGTTAACGGGACTGTGTGTATAATTTAAGTAGATATTTACAAAATAAAAGGTTGCAATGTTTTAAAATTACAGCATCATAAATATTATAAACATTGCAAAAACTTTACTTCTAGGTTTTTTTTCTACGGAAAGTCACATGTACATGTATTTATCATATACATGTAGTTCCATACAAATGCACGAACCTGACTGGTGAAATGTTATCTTTTGAGGACATTCCATTTCAAAAACGTCAACAGTTAAATGTGTGGGATAGTAGCTTCAAAGTTTATTTCTGTTGAATGTTAGACTCTATTGATAAAAACATGAACCTTAGGGGCACTTTTTTGTTTGATAAACCTAACAACCTTGAAGTCATTTGGTTTTTAGATTTAATTTACTACCTGGTTGTTTCTTAAAATGAACTGTATGTGTAACTTTACACAAGTTGCTTGTTAATGCACTAAAGACAACCTCTAGCACAATTTATTATGCTCCCCGAAGAGTGAGCATAATGTCGCCGTTTTGTCCATCCGTCCGTCCACACAATCGAATAGGGTAAGGGGGCCATCTAACTGTAAACAGAACAAAAGAGTTCATTCCGTAACAATAGAGTAACAATTGTCCCTCTATTGAACAAAGGAAAATAACAAAAGAATTGGCCCCTTATTCCATTTCAGCCGAATGTCTGTCCGCTTTTCTTGTCCGAGACATAACTCTGAAACTACAAAAGGTATACTTTTCTGTGTCCAAACTTATTCGGGAAGCATTACCGGGTTCAACCAGCTCCTGTTTTGTACGATGTTTTCAGTTATATATACATGTACACACAAAATAAGACATTTTGTATCTCTAAATGCCATAATTGGTTATTAATGCACTATACAACCTCTAGTGCACTATTCATAATTACATATTGTATGAATTGTTCCCGATAGGGACTTTGGATTTTTTTCATGTGAGGAAGCTATCCAGCTAGCTTACAGAAAATTGGTGGTAACCTACTCGGGTGCCTGAAATAATATCGGCCTAAACCAGTAAAGCTGGTATGTTTCCATATGACCTATACTGTGTCAGTGTGACGTTACTAAAAACCCAATCAAACACACAGAACATGACTTGTCTTGCATTATATATACATACATGTAAAATAAGACAGTTGTTTATCACCAAATAACATTAGACACTTATAATACAGAGGGATAGGAAACTCTAAAGACATTTTCCAGTCTAGGCGCGAGATTCTTTAATTGGCCATTGAAGTTGGTCGATTTCAGCCATTTTGTTTTAAGTTACTAAAATTAATGTGTTTACATTTTCATACATTACTGACAATTTCCGCCGTCTTATAATAGGTTACTAAAATTAATGTGTTTACATTTTCATACATTACTGACAATTTCCGCCGTCTTATAATAGGTTACTAAAATTAATGTGTTTACATTTTCATACATTACTGACAATTTCCGCCGTCTTATAATAGGTTACTAAAATTAATGTGTTTACATTTTCATACATTACTGACAATTTCCGCCGTCTTATAATAGGTTACTAAAATTAATGTGTTTACATTTTCATACATTACTGACAATTTCCGCCGTCTTATAATAGGTTACTAAAATTAATGTGTTTACATTTTCATACATTACTGACAATTTCCGCCGTCTTATAATAGGTTACTAAAATTAATGTGTTTACATTTTCATACATTACTGATAAAAGTTTACATCTTCCTCATCTTAATGCTTTTTAGTATTTTGCAACTTCTTTTTCTTTATCACTTATCAAATTCTTAAAAAATCTGCATAATACATGTCAAGCACGTCAGAAAATTCAGAAGATACAGCATAACATTATAAGTCTCGGAAAATCTCGCGAAAAAATGTGAACTTGCGGGATTTAATAATTGGTCGCTGTTATGATGACAATTTTTTTATACCTTCCACTCTCCATTCAAATATAGCTCTGTGATGACATCACCGTCAGTTACCCACGGTATATATTCTGAAACACTACATTGTCTGGTAACCGAAGGTGTAATTATATATAAATACCATAATGTTTTTCAGTAATTTGTATTTTTATGAAAAATCCAAAAAAGTCAGTAATTGTAATTTACAATGTATACACATCTACATTAAAGGAACTCCACTGAGGTTCAAAAGCCTAAAAACACAAAATTTAATTTTTTTCCATAGATCAGCCAGGGCACTTTAACGATATACAAGAGGTTATTAAGAAATAAACTCAGAAATAAATTGCAAATTGTATTTTTGTACTATTCTTAGCCCAATTTTGGGCAAAAAGCATTGCAAATTGCTTTTCAATTTTGAATATTTTATATGATAAGAATACTAACTCTGATAAAACGGAGTGAGTGAATGATCTGAAATTTTGAGCACAAATTATTTGTGTTAACCTTCATCAAATGGAACATTAATCTCAAAAATTTATTTCAAGTACCGCAGTCATGTCAAAAAAAAAACTCCCTGTAAAGCAGCTTACTTATTCTTACAAAGGAGTATAATACAATGTATTTTCAACTGCACATGAATTAAGTATAATTAGATATAAAGGTAAAGGTCTTTTTTATTATACCCCTACTGAAAGGTTCAGCCATTTCTGACTTATGAGACACCTTTTGCTTTCATACCATATACCTCGTAACTCCTACCACTATGCCAGACGCCAGACGGATAGAAATTGGTAACCATTCATTTGAACTACCTCGCGGCTCACGAAGCGGCCATTTCGGAACGAGTCCCACGAGAAACATTCATCCTTCAATTAACGCTCCCCACGGGGCTCGAACCTTCGACCTCCCGATCCGAAGGCGGATACCTTAACCACTTGGCCAACGGTACCGATATTTTCTTTATTATCTTTAACTATTTTTCAGGATATATCATTTGGCAATGTTGTTGGTGAAGTAAAGAACGAAGTTAAACAATTGTTACATCCAAAAACTAAACGTAGCGTTAATAAAAGCTCTAAACAAACTGATATCCACGCTATTGTAGAGGACGTCATCAGAGAACGGGTATGTTTAAAAGAAATTATAAAGATGTCTTCAGGAGTTTTTATATAGACATATAAGCAAAATAAAAAGGGTAAAAAGGGCAGATAACTCAAAAGTGAGACTCGTGACAACCATATTTTTTTTCGCTTAAACTATTTCTGTCATCATATATTCTAACAACATGCTTAAGATAAAAGATTAAAGAAATTCTAACAACATAATTATGCTTAAGTTTAAAGAAATTTTATTTAACAGTTTTAATTATGCCTAAAGTTGTCTATTTGAAAAGTCCGGAAAACCGTTCCTTAAACAGTGAATTCTATACTTAAATTACTTTAAACTCTTAGGTACACTTATACTTTTACCGTACTGGCTTAAGCGCATTTCCTTAAAGATGAAAATGCATAGGGTTATGCAAAAAATTATGAGAACTATTCACATGCAGTAATATATTATAATGCAAATAAATAACTACACTGTTAAAATCACTGTTTGGAGTTTGGATGTGACGAATTATATGAGCCGCGTCACGACAAAACCAACATAATGGGTTTGAATGGATCTGGATCCATGCTGGTCGCAAACGAACTATGTTGGTTTTGTCGTGACGCGGATCATATACTGTTTAAGGAAAAGAAAATTTTGGACGAATGTGTGAAGGCATCTCAACAAGAAGTGTATAAAATACTTCAAGATGCAGCAGTTTACCTGAAGTCCGCCACTACCACTGAGCCTGTTCAGAAACGCCAGGCTGTCAACACTACTGGGAATGAACTCGCGTCGATATTTGGAGAAATTGCTAAAACAGAGGTATTTCATTGAAAATGTTTTTTTTCTTATATATAGCGGATATTCAAGCTTTTTTCTATAACTACAGCATTTATTTTCATTGAGTGGTATGAAAATAAATATTTCATGTGTATGAAAATAAATCCGTTTATTATATACATTTTTCTCTTTATGACATTACAATTTGAAAGACTTTTCACTGGCAGAATTATAAAAAAAAGTCTTTCAGCAAAACACCAGTGAAAATACGGAAAATATGTTTAACTGCCATGAAAAATAAATTTTTACAGTGAAAATATGGAAAATGAAAATACGCATTTTATTTCATCAATATTTTTCAATGTTTCATTTATAATGTATGTAATAAAAATGTATATTTAAATGTTAATGATTTTTTATTATTTAAAAATGTCATGTGCTAATTTTTTACTTACTGAAATTTTTAAATTGTGAAAATTTGACCCAGAACAAGATAAACGTGTTATTTATAACTATAATAATAACTGTATAGAAATCTTCACAGAATTCATGTTATAATTGTATGTAAAAGGAATGTTTATGTTCGTAAAATAGGTTGATATTTTGACAAGATATTGCGGTAACAACAGTAAAATATGCTTACCAGGTATGTACCTTAATTTCATTTTTCAATGACCAGTTTTTGTTGTTCTAAAAATGTTTAAACAAAACAAGAATATCCATCTCTGTATTGGATTTGAACCCAGGGCCTCAAGTATAGGATTTGAAGCGAGTGCCTTTGGTATACCCAGGGCTTTAGGTAAAGAATTTTAACCCAAGGTAACTTGTAATCAACTTATCCGTTCCTGGAACCAACCAGTACTAAACAATGAATCTGCAGGAAACAACGGCTGGTCCCTGATAGGGTTTGAACCCACTTGGTCGGCAATCCTTATATGATTATTCCGACGTGCACTCAATCACCCTGCCACACTATTTTAGGACAACCCTCTTATAATTATAAATACATTGTACATGGCATAGATTTAGATGATCATATTTTATTGCTATGATTGATATTACATGTAAATGACCACCCTGTTTTTGTTGTTTTTTCCATCACATACATGTAAAAGTAATTTATTTATCTACACCACTAATGTTAGAATCTTATATTAATTATTCTTTTTTTTTCAGGGCAAAAAGGTGAACCTGGGTTATATGGTATACCCGGAGCTAAAGGTGACCATGGAGTTATGGGTCCACAAGGTCAGTTAACAAAAGTGTTGTTTGTATGCTTATGTCTTAGAAAATACTATTTGAGTTTAGGTCATCTGGAGCTGATTTATAATTATTAATAAACTGCAACGTTTTAAGGTACACAAACCCTGTCGATGAAAAGCTAGTTCACCACCAATTTGTGTGTGTATTTGAGTTTATTTATACTCGCCACCGGTTGCCCAGGCGAGTCCTCCAGAAGAGTATCAGTCATTTCATATTTTTGGAAGTTATTGCAAGATACAGATGTAGAAAGATGACTCAATTCCAGAAGCTTCCCCTGGTTCTTTAACGTGCAAATGGGAAAGATTCCCTTAGGTTAGATCACCAACTTTAGTTTTTGCATATTATTGTGCTCATTATCAGTATTATGACGTTGTAACAACACTGTTACAATACTATTATTCATGTATACCTTGGTATAATTAATTAATACACCTGTTGCATTCCATTAGATATATCTTTAACCTATCCAAAACTGTATATAAAACAGATTACTTTAAGGTCCACATTATCAGCAATGAATACAATTAATGTACATAATGAATATTATTTTAACTAAAAGTTGTCCTGGGATACTAGGATGCAGAAAAACATTTAAAAAGTAGAGCTGTTTAAGAGATGGAATTGTTTGAACACTGTACCATTTTGGAAGAAGCGTTGTTTAGACAATGTAACATTCAGAAAGTAGAGTTGTTTAAACACTGTCACATTAAGAAAATAAAGTTGTTCAAACACTGTAACATTAAGAAAGTAGTGTTGTTTAAACACTGTAACATTCAGAAAATAGAGTTGTTTAAACACTGTAACACTCAGAAAGTAGAGTTGTTTAAACACTGTAACATTCAGAAAATAGAGTTGTTTAAACACTGTAACACTCAGAAAGTAGAGTTGTTTAAACACTGTAACACTCAGAAAGTAGAGTTGTTTAAACACTGTAACACTCAGAAAGTAGAGTTGTTTAGACACTGTAACACTCAGAAAGTAGAGTTGTTTAGACACTGTAACACTAAGAAAGTAGAGTTGTTTAAACACTGTAACATTAAGAAAGTAGAGTTGTTTAGACACTCACTCAGACAGTAGTGTTGCTTAAACACTGTAACATTAAGAAAGTAGGGTTGTTTAGACACTGTAACATTCAGAAAGTAGAGTTGTTTAAACACTACATCAATAAGAAAGTAATGTTGTTTAAACACTGTAACATTCAGAAAGTAGAGTTGTTTAAAAGAAAAACAATGTAACACTCAGAAAGTAGAGGTGCTTAAACACTGTCACATTAAGAAAGTAGAGTTGTTTAGACACTGTAACATTCAGAAAGTAGAGTTGTTTAAACACTGTAACATTCAGAAAGTAGTGTTGTTTAGACACTCACTCAGACAGTAGAGTTGTTTAAACACTGTAACATTTAAACCTTTAAACAATTTACAGGATTAAAAGGAGAACCAGGAACTGGTGGTCAAAATGGAACCAAAGGTGAAAGAGGACCAACAGGTCCAGACGGGAAAGCAGGACTACCTGGTAATACATTTTATTTCAGAAATATTTGGCCCAATCTTTGAGTTTGTTTTATCATTTCTTTGTAATGTATATGTTATAAAATGTAAAGTAGGAAGACTTTTTTATGCCACCAGATGGTGGCCTTTAAAATTACACCGTCTGTCGGTCCGTCTGTCTCTGCGTCCCCACTTACACATCACTCATGTCCGGACTGTTACTTCGTCATGCATGGAAGGGTTTTAGAATACAGTAACTTTGCACAAATTATGATGATGTGTTTCATCTAAGAAAAATGTCCCTACATAAGTTTAAGGTCACACTTACAGTTTTGAGGTTCACATTTTTAAATTTAAGAATTTAAAGGTACACATATTTATGTCTGGACAGTAGCTTTATCATGCATTGAAGGATTTTAAAATAACTTGGCACAATTCTTTGAATATTTAATATTTTCTTCATATGTGAATATTGAAATGATAACAATTATTTTCAAAACAGGTCCTAAAGGAGATAAAGGTGAAAGGGGACAAATGGGACTGTATGGTGTTCCAGGAACTAAAGGTGACCGTGGAGTTATGGGACCCCAAGGTATGTTAACTTGCATTCATAGTTAAAGATCCTGTATGTCTTGATCCAAGTGGTAAACCTTTGTGTGTATTTGAGTTTATTTATACTCGCCACCGGTTGCCCATATGGGCGAGTCCTCCAGGAGAGTATTAGTCATTTTATATTTATGGAGGATAGTGCAATTACAGATACAGTACAAGAGTCAGATTCAGAAAGATACCCCAAGTCCAGAAGCTTCCCCTGGTCCTTTAACATGCCAAGTGTTTAAGTCTCGCGCTCCAACTGATTTAGCTATGCGGGCTGGTTGTGGTAAACCATACTAAGTGAAATTATATATATGTAGTACTACATAATTATGCAAAATAAAATAATTTTCAAACAACGAAGAATATGTTAAATATGTACCGCAAATATTTATGCATATTATATGTAATCATTAAGATATGTGCATTCATTTCTTATTGTAAAATTTGACTTAAACTTTATAGAAATGTTTTTTATTACCCCCCTTTATTTACATGAAATGTTAAATTCGGCAATATCTTTATAAATAAAGCTTTTTGGAACCTACAATATTGATAAATCTTATTTTGAGCATCATATTTATGATTTAAAACCATAAAAAAATTGTGTTACAGGATCTTTAACTCATTGACACAAAATAAATGTTCGTATTTAGGAAATAGATTAACCGCCTCCGTGGTCGAGGGGATAGAGTCGATGACTTCTAATCCAGCTACCTCTCTGGCGTGGGTTCGATCCCCGGGAGATGCTTTGGTAGTTTAGCGCGGAGGAAGGTAGTCTAGTACTGGTGTAACTCTCCAGGAACGATGGTTAGGAAACTACCCGCCTATATGACTGAAATACTGTTGAAAAAGGCGAAAAATGAAACAAACAAACAAACAAAAATAGATATCAGTTTTGAGTGTTTTGTAGAAAAATCATAAATGCATGGTTCGGGTTCAAATGCATAGGAAAATAATAACAAATAAAGTGTGCAGTGTTTTATTATAATACAAGAAAAGATAATATCTATTTCTATTCTTTCATGCTAACAAAAAGATGGAATTGATAAAGTATGTTAAACTACATTGAATGTAGAAGTTGTTTTCTTGCATAGCAGACTGGCGTTTCCGTTAGTTTTACCCATGCCGTCTTGCATGGGGGTGGGGGTGCCTGATGAGTTGTATGCTATACAACAGGTCATTAAAGCAAATTTTATGAATGAATCACGTTAAAATGGCGTCACAACTCTGGCTCCAAATTTATCAGAATTACCCCCTCCCACTTTGAACTGAGAATTTTAATGAAAAAAAGTTTTTGTTGTTGTTTTTTTAAAGCCCATCATGACTCAGAAATGCATTCATTTTTAATTTCTATGCTTTTATAGTTTGCAAAAAGTTACTCCATGTTTTTCATTTGTTGCTTTTTTGGATTAAATACAATTTTTATTGTGAATAAGTATTTTAACAGAAGTCAAGAGACTTTGATTACATTTTTGCTATCTTGACGACAAATTATTTCACGCTCATTTTTTTCAGGTAACAAACGTCTATAACATTTTAAAACCATTATTTACACATTAAAAAATACATGTTTACCCATTTTAAAGAAGCAAAATTCTGAGGCATAATGTTTTTTTTTTATTATTATTATTATTTCTTAACATATCTACTTCAAATATATTTTTCTTATGAATGTTGCTGATTTTCTAACCAGTAGGGGACTTTTGTACATCTTGCATAACATTAATAATTTCTTGTTTTTACTATCAAGCACTGTAAATTAACAAGCAAAGTGTCCTACTGACAGCGCATGTTTTTATATAATATATACTTTTGAGCATCAATTAGTGTTAACAATTTGTTCTTACAGGCATTAAAGGTGAAATTGGTCTTCCTGGATTGAAGGGTGCTAGAGGGGATCCAGGCGTAGGAGGAAGTCCAGGTATGTTTACATAATATGTGTTACTTAATAGTCCAGTACATTATTAATTGGTGTAACTAATTGTAATTATGTTTATGAGTTTATTTCATTTATTCCATAAGGCTATTCGCCCATGATGGCACTGCAAGCATACATATATACAGTAGGGTGAACGTTTCGGTTGTCAAAAATAGCGTTTTTCGTGCGTCCGTTTTTCGTGTAACGTGCGTGCGTATAGCGTGCAACGTGCGTTTGCTGAAACGCTTTCTCAAGCGTGCATCGTTTACAAGCGTTTAACGTTTATCGTTTTCCGTGTATCGTTTTTCGTTTATCGTGCGTCTGAAAGCGTGCGTTTCTTATTCCCAGAAACGTTTAGCGTGCGTCTGCGTTCGTCTAAGCGCTTAAGTACCGTGTTTTGCGTCTGTTACTATTGAGAAGTAAAAGAATTTCTTAGATAGATATATTATGTAAATTTGTTGTTTCTTAAACATGTAAGAGATATGTTCTGTGTCCCTGTCAAAGAATAGAAATATTATATAAAGAAGTATTATTGTGATATTTACATTAAAGTTTTAAAGTTTGTGACCTCGCGGTGAATAATGGTCAGATTTCTACAAGCTTAAAGCCGAAGATCAATTAGTTTTAATCCTATTTTACATACGCATAAGATATAATTACTAATTAATTGCAACATTTTTGATATTTAATTCAGCAAACAGATGTTTATATGCGTACCAATATATATTAGATACGAGGTTCGTCAGACATCAAATGATGTGATCAGACTAGCACCCCACCCCCTTTACAAGTTCATCTTCTGACTTTTCATCAAAGACTGTCCGAATCCTATCCGAATACTATTTAGGGTGATAATTATTTTAGACAGTTCCTTCCTATTTTTCTTGACGGATTTATATTGATATGTAACAGCCTGGCAGGCACTCGAACCCCTGACACTCGGAATACGATTCCGCGGCTCTTGAGTTCCTCTGAGCTATTCGGCCGCTTACACGTTTTACTTGTTTAAATACTGAATAGTTATAAACCTACTGTGTATGCAAATATTTCTTCGAATTTCCCAGGCTTACTTAGCATTGTGAATTAATTTCTAGCTGGGATATACAAATGTTTGTCAGTCACAGGGTGAGAAAAAAGTGCATCCTGACATGTACTCGAACCCGTGACCGTCTAAATACTGTACCGCAGCTGTACCGACATTTGTTAATAGTTACATTATTTGTACATGTATAGTGAACATTTTACTAATTATACATTGTACATTGTACTATTTCTATATTTTTGTACAAATAAAACTAACTAGATATTTTTCTAGATAAAAAATTCTATGGTGGCTAAAATATAGCATGTTGAACTGTTTAGACATGTAATCACAACAGACAGGCTAAGCCACCCTTTACAAAATTCCCCTATCTGTCAGCTCATAATCAAGCCATAGACTACTATTTTTGTATGTGGCCTGGGCTTTTACTGGTCACTTACAAACCGTATAACACTGATAGCGAACAGATGCCCAGGCTGGTCTGGATCCATGCTGGTCGCAAACCCATTATGTTGCTTTTATCGTGACGGGGCTCAAATATATCTTAATCTTATATGAGGTCAATAATATAACCCACTTTGATAAACATATATAGCTTTCTTGACTTTTATTCTGTATATTATCTAAAATCACTTTTAAGGTTTATCAATCCGTAATCATTACTTAACATAATACTCCTTGGAGATACCTGAGATGAGCCTGTGTCGCCCTTTGCTAACTTAAAAGTCTATAACCTATCCATATATAACCATATAATTCTTTGAAGATTTTTCTCAGCTGAGTAAGATAGGTATGCTGTAGTCCCAAGTCACTTGTTTAACTTCCCTCAAGTAAGTTATAAACCTAGACATAACTGATAAAATTCTAACTATAATATACTTAAATATCACCTATGTATTTATATAAATTTACATAAACCCATTTTGCATACTAATATATCTTTTGGGACTTGTACAATTTCAATTGATTGTAATTTTGATTTTCCTACAATATCAATTTAATGCTTCATAGGTAGGTCAGTTCATTAAAAAAATCATTAATACAAGATCCCTATGAAAAGTAATGTAATTGATAACTCTTCCAAATCAACTTTATTAATTAAAAGCTTTCATTAGATGACTTAAAAAAGAAGATTTCAATAATTTTCCAGGAAAAATATAAATGTTATAGTAAATTTTATCTGGACCCCAACTATTAAAGAAAGCAGTGCCACATAAAATGTTGATACACCGGGTAATTTTACCTTAAACTTAACCTCTTAGGAAATGATACAGAATTTTTTATATAACATAAATCTATTATATTAATTAACAAACATATGTAATTGACTAAAATAAGGTAGTCCTAACAAATTTCATTACAAAATATGAGAATTATGGCAAATCTCCTAAGATGCCTAAATGTCCAAGATCACTAAATCACAACAAAATATGAAAATTTTACCTAATTAAAAGAGCCTTGGAAATTAAACAAGGCTACAAGAGGAACATTAATCTATCATATTAATTAACAAACGTATCTAATTGACTAAAGTAAGGAAGTAAAACCAAATTTCATTACAAATTATAAGAGTTATTGCAAATTTCCTAAGATACCTTACTGTCTTGAGATAGAACACCAATTCACTACAAAATGGGGATTGTTACCTTATTATATCAGCCTAGGAAATGAAACAGAATTATAAGTGCAACATAAATCTATTATATTAATTAACAAGCATATCTAATTAATTAAAATAAGAATATCTCAATAAATTACATTGAGTATTCAAAAAATTATGGCTTATTTCCTATGATGTATAACTATACAAGCTAACACACTAATTCATTAAAAATGGGAGTAATATTACCTGATTATAACCTCATGGTAAATGTATCAAAGTTATATAAGCAACATAGTATTATTATATTAAGTTAAACCTACATCAAATTGACTTATATAAGAAAATCCCAACTAATTTCATTGCAAATTATGAAATAATGGCTAATTTTCTATAATGCCTTATTAATAACTTTACCACACTAAATCATTGAACATTTGGGTAAGTTTACCTTGTTATAACCTTTTGGTCACTGAAACAAAGTAAGTAAAGCCAAATAATGTTATACTATCAAGTAACTACTACATCTATTATAAATTGACTAAAATAAGAAAACCCCATTGAATTATATTGACAATGAAGAGAGATAAGGTAAATTTTCTATGATGCCTATTTGTTCAAGCAAATACATTACATATTTAAAAATGGGGGTAATTTTCCCTTATTATAACCTCCTAGGAAATGAAACCAAGTTAGTAAGATAACATATCACTATAATATTGAGTAACAATTACATCTGTTTGATTGATATTGAAAAAATCCACCAAATTTCATTGAAAAATAAAAAAAAGGTATGGCAAATGTCCTATAATGCAGACAGAGGTGTTCAGATCCACTATCAGTAAGGAAGTGTTCCCTTCCCTGTCAGGGGACCATTACTGGCATGGTATAACTATATGGAATCACAAAAAAGATACTGTAAAACTGATTTTTTCAATTTTACAGCTCAGAACTATTCACTAATGAGGGGACATAAGATAAGTTAGTTAACATAAACCCGTTTAAAATACATGAATGGCTAGCTATCATTTAACCCTTTCCCTGCCAGAGGGTTATTGTTTTATTGTTCACCTATTTGCCAGAGGATTTTCTAAGAAATTACTATATTATTAATTAATATAATTATTATTATTTGTTATTAGTATTATAATAATTACATATGTTTCCAAATCTGTTAGTATAATAATAATTATTGTCGATGGTATAATTTTCTTTATATTTATTATTATTTTTATTTTTATTATTATTAATTTATTATTATAACTATTATTTTTATGGAAACGGCTAAAGCCGTCCATATGGCAAATACACCGAAAATAACAGGGACGGCTTAAGCCGTCCCTATGGCAGTGAAAGGGTTAAACAAATCACTAAACGATCTAGCTTAGAAGTTGTTAAAAATTTATATGATAAGGATATTTTATTAACGTTTAGAAACGATTTCTATTTTGCATGCGTTTTAGCGTGCCTATATCGTGTAGCGTATTTCGTTTTGCATGCGTTTGCGTATTTCGTTTCATAAAGGGTGCGTGTAACGTGTGTTCGTATAGCATGTAACGTGCATGTGTTTTTTCCGCAACGTGCGTTTTGCGTGTAAACTGAAACGTTCACCCTACTGTATCACATACACAAAATAAAGACCTTTTAAAGTTTAAAGACTACTATAAGAGTAGTTTTTCATTTACACGCCTATAGTATAACGCTACCATTTAGCCATCTTTACATAATGTTTTTATAACGCTAATGAGGTCATGTCAAATTATATGCATGGATGTGCAGTACCATATTTACTGAGTGGCAAAATCGGCACTGGTGTGTGATAAAGCATATTTATACGGGGAAGTCAAAAACCGCGGGTCCGGGCTTTTCACTTGCCGGGCTATAGACTACATGTGTATATTTAAAAGAAAATCAATTAAAAAAACATGTACAATACAAAGTGAGCATGATTTATGTGCATAATACAACGAACAAAATAAATATTAGATCTACAGAAACTTTCATTGGAGAAGGTCAAGCATGACATAAGTAAGCTTAATATTCTTAATAATTTCATTTCATATCATTTAAAATATGACTTTAATATAAATTTGTTTAGACTAGTAATCTGAAAAACATTATTTTCTCCTTAAATTACAATCAGAATTTGTATATATATATACATCGAGATACTTGTAGTAATTATTATCTTTCTCGTAAAAAGAAAGATAACCCTTGCATGAATTTAGTACAATAATAACAATATTTATATATATATAGTATAACAAGAACATACAAATTACATCCATTTTAACTACCAAACTTTATATTATGTTCAAGTGCTACAAGTTTGTTGACAAATTTACATTACATTTACAGAATATATTTTTGTTTGATTATATATACCATGTATTTTGTCTCATCATATCGATAAATTTTTCTTGATTGTAGTACATTGTTGGCAAAATTATTAATCTATTATAACTTATTATCAATTTATTTCATTTATTTTGACTTGATAATAATTCATTTATTATTATTTAATTTAGTGTGTTAATATATATATATAACAGTAATTTGTAAGCTGTTAGCTAAATCGACAATCCTAGGGTAGCATATACTACTTTATTTTATAGTTATGTATTTGTTGCATTTTTGTGTTATATGCAGTAATTGGACCCCATTCGAAATAAGCTTTTATAGCTAAATCGGCAATCCTAGGGTTACATAAAACTTATTATATTTTACAGTTATATTTTTGTTGCATTTTTGTGTTATATGCATTAATTGTACCCCGATTTGAAATAAAGCATATAGCTAAATCGACAATCCTAGGGTAACATGAAATATACTAGTTTATTTATAGTTCTATATTTGTTGCATTTTTGTGTCCTATATATGCATGTTGATTTATGTGACAATATATTATTTGCGTATGTATAATACTCTGAATTTAGCGATACAATATTACTTCAGGTTTACCCGGTCCAAAAGGTGAAAAGGGAGACGATTCTGTTGTTTCTGCTACCCCATGTTGTACAAGTCTAGGTATCAGATAATATATTTTCTAATTACCTCCCTTTATTAACAAGAAATGTTAGATTTGAATGCTATTTGGAACTAACAATATTGATAAATCTTCATTTGATCATCATAAGTATGATATAAAACCATAAAAATTGTGTTACAGGATCTTTAGTATATTTTCTGTTGTAATATGTAAATTGCGTTTTGTCTAATTGAAACTGACAGTTACTTAAAGAACATTTCCTGTCAATTATGATACCCTGGTACATAAAGACATAGCAACTTGTTTCAGTTACAGCAAACAAGTGAAATGATTAAAATGTTTTTAAAAAAACATTCAGATCTGTCGAGTGGTTTATTTAAAATATGAAATGATTAAATTGTTTTTATTTATGTTAAATAAAACATTTTACATATGTTGGGTAGTTTATATTACAATGTTAATTGTAGTACAGAACATATTTAATTTATACAACATAATCGTTCCTCAAATATATATATATATAGTATTAAAGGCACATGATTTTTACATGTACAGGTATTCCAGAGTTTAAACAACAAGTTGAAGAAATTAAGGTGACTGAAGGATCGAACGTGACACTGACCTGTAACCCGGCTGGTTACCCACCTCCCCAACTCTCCTGGAACCCTAATCCATCCGGTATGAACTTTACAATTGCTTTTGTTTAACCCAAATCCATCCGGTATGAACTTAACATTTGCTTTTGTGTTATACAGGACTACAGATTTTATGAGACAAGTGAACAGTTTAGAGTTTTTTCTATAGCAAAAGAATAAGGGACCAAGGCCCCTTTCTTAAACAAAAGAAAATAACAAAAATGCCCCTTATTCCCCTCATTTTGACAAATCTGTCAATCTGTCCTCAAAATATTGATTTTAGCTGGAAAACTTACAATTTCAAATAGTATCTTCTGCTCAAGCTATTTAACTATATATGAGCCGCGTCATGACAAAACCAACGTAATGCGTTTGCGACCAGCATGGATCAAGACCAGCCTGCGCATCCGCGCAGTCTGATCAGGATCCATGCTGTTCGCTATCAGTTTCTCTACCTGTAATACGGTTCGTAAACGAACAGCATGGATCCTGATCAGACAGCGCGGAAGCGCAGGCTGGTCTGGATCCATGCTGGTCGCAAACGCACTATGTTGGTTTTATCGTGACGCGGCTCATTTTTTAGATGCACAATGTAGGGTTATCACTGTACAAACTGTTGGTAAAATATAATTTAAAGTGAACACAGTTTTATCCAAAAATTCAACTTTATCTTTATTGAACATTGCAAGGTTGCCTTTCTGGACTACAATCTTGTTTAGGAGTCATTTTAGACACTATTTTACTATATTAACAAATTTAGATCAGAGTAGAATTGTTTTTACTTTGATATTTAGAATAAGATATTTTGGACAATTTTACTATATTTAAATTGTATAAAGCTATATATATCTGATGAAAAAGTCATTGTTTGGATTTTAGAAAAGAATACTTCCAAAATGCTTGTTTGAAATTGAAATGGCAAAAATTGCCTTAAACCGAATGGCGCATGCACAAAGTTATTGCTTATCGGATAAAACCCTACCTAAAATAGCAAAATAATATTTTGTTCTTGAACATTTTATTCTGTTTTTTCACATGTGTGTTAAATGACAGAGACATTCTATGTTACTCCTTTTTCGGGAATCAACCAAAGAATAATGTAACCAATATAATTCTACTGTTGATAATTTTTTATGAAAATATTTCATAAAATATAGATTTATACCCTTTAACAGGTTTAGATCAGACTAGAACGGCTATTTCACCTAAATCAATCACGATGTCCAATCTTCACGTGACAGACAGTAAGATGTACACGTGCTTGGCGAAGAACGCTCTTGGGGACTCCGAGAAAAACTTCAATCTCAAAGTTTATCGTAAGAAAGTTTTAAAGTTAAAGTTTTTCTGTGTGGTTTTATTCATGTGTGTATTAAAGCTGCATGCCTCCAGATGAGCAAAAATATTTCAATAAAATCAAACTTGAGAAAAGTGTACTAAGATTTTAGAAAAAGTAAAATTATTCAAGATTCATGTAATAATTTACATGTTATGTGCAATTTATGATTGATTTTTCAGTATTTATAATTATATTTCTACTTCGTTACCAGTAAGGGCTATTTTTGCATATTTTGCCCACTTTTTAGTATTTTACGTGGGTTGTCAGTGTCACTGATAATGTGTAAATTGTTTCCTTTTAGTAATTCACTAGATAACACATTTTCAAAATTTTCATGAAAATAGCATGAATCTGGAGGCGTTCTGCTTTAATGCATATTTATAACTGCATTGTACAAGGTATTATAATAAGTATGACAGTGTGTGATAATTACAGTGTAGAAGTACAGTGTTGCACATAGTGAATAAATTGCGGCATTATATTAAAGTATACATGTATTAAGTACAGCTTTGTATATGGTGTTAATGGGGAATGTGTAATTTGGGAAAGTATCTTTGGGGAAAGTGTTGTTGGGGAAAGTGTTGTTGGGGTAAGTGTAATTGGGGATAGTGTTGTTGGGGAAAGTGTAATGGGGGAAAGTGTTGTTGGGAAAAGTGTAATTGGGGCTAGTGTTGTTGGGGAAAGTGTAATGGGGAAAGTGTTGTTGGGGTGTGTGTTGTTGGGGAAAGTGTAATTGGGGAAAGTGTTGTTGGTGAATGTGTAATTTGGGAAAGTGTAATTGTGGAAAGTGTTGTTGGGGAAAGTGTAATTGGGGAAAGTGTAATTTGGGAAAGTGTTGTTGGGGAAAGTGTAATTGGGGAAAGTGTTGTTGGGGAAAGTGTAATTGGGGATAGTGTTGTTGGGGAAAGTGTAATGGGGGAAAGTGTTGTTGGGAAAAGTGTAATTAGGGCTAGTGTTGTTGGGGAAAGTGTAATTGGGGAAAGTGTTGTTGGTGAATGTGTAATTTGGGAAAGTGTAATTGTGGAAAGTGTTGTTGGGGAAAGTGTAATTGGGGAAAGTGTAATTTGGGAAAGTGTTGTTGAGGAAAGTGTAATTGGGGAAAGTGTTGTTGGGGAAAGTGTAATTGGGGAAAGTGTAATTGGGGAAGTGTAAATAGGGAAAGTGTTGTTGGGGGAGTGTAATTAGGGAAAGTGTTGTAGGGGAAAGTATAATTGGGGAAGTGTTGTTGGGGAAAGTGTAATTGGGGAACGTGTAATTGGGAAAGTGTAATTGGGGAAAGTGTAATTGGGGAAAGTGTTGTTGGGGAAAGTGTAATTGGGGAAAGTGTTGTTGGGGAAAGTGTAATTGGGAAAGTGTTGTTGGGGAAAAAATGCACAACATGAAGTCAAACTTTTTTTTCTTTTAGACAATTTTAACAAAGACATAAACATAATCGTAATAAAATAATCTTATTCGTCACATAAGGAAAAATTGCATTATAGAAATTGTATAAAATTTTATAAATTTTATCATATCAATCATGGTTTAAAAAATTATCTAACCAATCAAACAAAAATGAAAATATGTACATGTAGCTAGATTTTAATACGTTAACTATAAACTATGATGTAGTTTATACATTAAACATGTTCATATTTTATTTCAGAGCACTTGAAGTTTGACAAGGTTCCACAAAACTATACAGTAATGATAGGGAACCCAGTAACACTGGAATGTCAAGTTGAAGGACCCCTTAATCCGCAAGTCTCGTGGTATAAGGTACATGTCTTATTGGTTATATTGTTCATTAAAATACTGCATGTTTGTAGCGTCGCTTTTCATTGGATAATAATGACGTTTATATAGTTTTGTATACACCGCTGCTGCTGTCAATTTATGAAGAAATGTCACTTTTTCTTTAAAAAAGAGAGAAGTTTTCTGTATTGTAAATTTGTTATAAATATTTCTGACATGTTATATGGCCATATATGAATGGTTGTTTGCAATATAAACCTCGCCTTGCAGCATTGATTATATTTCCAAACAACCGTTTTTATACACCCATATAACCTGTCAAAATCTAAATAACTAATAACTAATGTAGTGTTTAAATTTTTTTTAATGTGAGTTTAGTACAGTTTACTCAAGTGGTTGGAATTATACATTTCTGTGAAAGGAAATCAAGTTACACATGACTGACAATGGCATTATGACAATGACAGTTTCCACTTATCTTTCCTACTTTTGAATTCAAGAATTGACCAATATTGCAGGAATTGTTTTCCAGAACAAAGTTACTTGCTTACATTGTTATCAAGTTGAATGATGGAAGAAAGTTACATCTTTACATTCTGACCAAGTTGAATGTAATGTTGCTATTAAGTTGAATATAATGTCTGAAACGGAACAAATTTACATTATTATCAATTTGAATGTAATGTCAGAAGGAACAAAGTTACATGTTTACATTATTATCAAGTTGAATTTAATGTCAGATGGGACAAAATTACATGTTTACGTTGATATCAAGTTGAATATAATGTCAGATGGAAGAAAGTAACATGTTAACATTATTTTCAAGTTGAAATAATGTCAGATGAAACAAATTACATGTTAACATTTTTAATCAATTTGAATGCAATGAAATGTCAGATGAACAAAGTTACTTTTTACATTATTTTCAAGTTGAATATAATGTCAGATGAAGCAAAGTGTTACATGTTTACACTACTATAAAGTTAAATGTAATGCCAGTTGGATTTACATTTATATAAAGTTGAATGTATGTCAAAGAGAACAAAGTTACATGTTTACATTTAAATCAAGTTGAATATAATGTCAAGATGCACTTGATTTCATGGGAGTTTTTACTGTTATTTTAGGTGATGCCAGATGGTACAAAGTTACAAGTGACCAATGGTATAACTTCAGTCATAAATGGTTCACGGCTTCACTTTGACAGAATGGACAGTGGACGGGTTGGTCAATATGTTTGTGAGGGCAACAATGGTGTAGAAAAAGTACAAATGTCTGCTTTCCTCAACACTTTTGGTATGTATAGCATTAACCGCATGTACAGATGTTAGCCTTATGTTACACTTGAAGTGTGTAGAGGTGTTGACCTTATGTTTCACTTACAGCATGAACAGATGTTGACCTTATGTTAAACTTGCAGTTTGTACAGGTGTTGACCTTATGTTACACTTGCAGGATGTACAGGTGTTGACCTCATGTAACACTTGCAGCATGTACAGATGTTGACCTTATGTTAAACTTGCAGTTTGTACAGGTGTTGACCTTATGTTACACTGGCAGTTTGTACAGGTGTTGACCTTATGTTACACTTGCAGTATGTACAGGTGTTGACCTTATGTAACACTTGCAGCATGTACAGATGTTGACCTTATGTTAAACTTGCAGTTTGTACAGGTGTTGACCTCATGTTACACTTGCAGTTTGTACAGGTGATGAACTTATGTTACACTTGCAGCATATACAGGTGTTGAACTCATGTAACACTTGAAGCATGTACAGGTGTTGACCTTATGTTACACTTGCAGTTTGTACAAGTGTTGACCTTATGTAACACTTACAGCATGTACAGGTGATGAACTTGTTGTAACACTTGCAGTTTGTACAGGTGTTTGCTTATCATAACAATTGCACTATGTACAGATGTCTGCTTTCTTTAACACTTTCACTATGTACAGATGTCTGCTTACATCAACACTAACACTGTCTGCAGATGTCGGCCTTCTGTTACACTTGCAGTATGTACAGATGTCGACCCCTTTAGAATTACCCTATGAAATTAACGATATTGTATCTTGTCTCTCACACAATTTGTTCAATTATCATACATTTAAAATAAGAAATTAATAATACAAAAAAGGACTATTGACCTTCAGCCTTCTGAACGTAGCGCTCTACCGATCGAGCTATTGCGACATTTATTACTAACTTTTACAATTTTTAGTCAAACGCACAATTATTAGGGCGTATATTTTATTTTAACCCATATATTATTAAGATTCCTTAACACATACAGTATGTAACATCTGTTCTAAAACACTTTTGTTTTGTAAAGATGGAAACCTTGCTAAACACTTGAGTAACACTCAGATGTCATCCTTTCTACATAATTATACATTTTGATAATTTATTTTATGACCATCTGTTATGCATGTTGATTATCTGATTATTTTAGGACCACCTGTTTTTGCATGTTTGATATCTTATTATTTTAGGACCACCTCATATTACATCTCCACCAGTAGTAACAGCTGTTAAGGGTCAAACAATTAAACTTACATGTAATGCTGACGCCAGACCCCCAGCTACTATTTCATGGACATTTCCGGTAAGTTGTTTCCCCTTTTTCTCGTCAAGCCTAGATGATAAATCCTTACTCTGACCTTACATTTGAAGAACAATAGATTTAACCACCAACACTGACATGATTGTGCTCTTTTGTTAACAAATAGGTTGTGGTGAAATTTTTAGTGTATCCACTAATCTGATAATTAGAATTAGATGGGTCAGGGATTTATGCATTATATGATTTTATCCTATGTTTACATATTTACATAAAGATGTTATCATGTATTTATGGTTTTTCATGTGATTTTATGCAAAATGATTCAGCAATTTATTCATATATTGTCATATCTGGCAACCTTCTGTAACCGACAAAATTAATAAGTCCCACTTGTATTGTGTAAAAAGTTTGCAATGCTAAAATTATGGTGAAACAAATCATGTCGGATGATCAACTCTGTTAATGTTTGTCTGGTTTGTACTTTGATCAAACCAGTGACCACAGAATTGCATTGAATACAATGTACTTTCACATTTGAGCTTAGCCAACGAAACTTTGTTAATAAAAAGAACTACTATTGTCAACTCTTGGAAATAATTATTTCGTATGAATAAAAAAAATAAAACAACATATGTCCTACTTAATTCTAATTGTAACATATATGTATCATTTACGCTTCGTAATAAATAAAATAGTTCAGGATGTGCTGGCTTTTCTTGGTCTGCACTTGTCGCATAGATAGAGCCAGCTGCTGGAAGCAGATTCATTGCCGAATAGGTCTGTGTTAAGTAAAAACCAAAAATAATTGAAGGTGATTTTTCAATGTGAATTTTCATTTAATTGAGCCCTTAAATAATGGTCTACCGACTTAGCTAAATACAGAGAACATACAAAATGTGATGTAATCCTTAGATTGCTGGTTCCATCCTCAAGTGACGTGAAATTTCTTTCTCTATCTAGGACATTAGGTCTAGTGGCCATTTGTCATTCACCGCTGATTCTGAAATCACATGGGCACTTGCGGAGAAGTTGTTAATTATTAATTATCCAGTGACGAGCCAGTAAGGCGGCTCAACCTTGGAGATATGACCAAAAATGTGTTAAAAACAAACAAGAAAAAACATTTGTCCTACTTAAACAAAAAAGAAAACACATTTGTCCTACTTACTTTTTTGTTTTACCTTTATGTATCAACTGAGGAAGCTGAATAAAGCGAAACATGTTTTGATACTTAATTTGTGTTGGTTTTCCAATTGTCCTACTAGTATTTAAAAAGGTGTAAAAATACCCCAAACAAATACGTATCTTAATTGAACCCTTGGACTATTTGTTATAGCCTGGAGTAACAAACGCCTACAAGGACACAGATGGATCTCTGGTGATAGTAAACGCTCAAACTACAGACGCTCGCTATTTTATATGCCATGCCAAAAATCAGTACGGTACAGATGAAGCGCAGATAACTCTTAACGTTAAAGGTATGAACAATATACTATCTAGTTTTAATATTTTTATGTCCTCCTTGTCGAAGAATTTTCGAAGAAATAAAGTGGAGCCATTGACATGATGACTGGCGTCAACATTTGTTATCATTTTCATTAAGGCCTATTTTCTCAGAATCTGTTAAATCTATACACTTCAAAATTGCTACATGTATATTTGATTATGGCTGCAATTGGATGGTATTACAAAAGGGCAGATAGTCCTGAAATTAATATATGCAAATTATGCCCCTTTTTTCAACTTAGTTTTTTTTTATTCCTGGTTTAAACATTTTTGTTTATGTCCATTGTCTCAGAAAATATGAAAGTTTTTCTCTTTAAACTTAGTATGCATGTTTCATTTTGTCACGAAAGCATGCCTTGCAAAAGGATAGATGCAGACAATCTAAATGAAATGTTAGTGGTACACTTTAATTTATTTAATCAAACTCTACACAGAAATTTATTTTCTCATAAGTTTTAGTCAAAAGTTTTTATAATAAGAAATAAATGCATTATTTTTAATGATTGCATATAATGTTGACACATATTTGCAGTACATCTTTTAATATTCTTTGATGTTTGAAAATTGTTTTAGAAGCATAATTATATACATATATAAAATTTCACTTAAGTGTGGTAACAACCTTATATACCACACACAGGATCTAAAATATACATGTATTTTATAATTGACAGTACCTGCAGAGGTAAGTGTATCCCCAGACAAGACACCGATAGTACCTGGTGGTACAGTTATCATACAATGTAATGCTGACGGAGACCCTAGACTCACTGTAGAATGGTACAAAGACGGAAATCAGATAACAGGGTAACTTTTCTGTCATTGTTTTTTTGGTAAACTTTTGTCTTTGTTTTTCCATTTCAAGCAACTTCTTCCTACATCCAAATCACCTTTTTTGTGGTTGTTGTTTAGGTGACGTTTTTGTCAGTGTTTTTCGGGTAACATTTTTGTCATTGTTTTTCGGGAAACTTTTCTATAAAAATTGTGCACTTGTAACATGCATAATAAACAGGTGAAGCATAATTAGCATTTATAAAGATAACAATACAAAGGTTACATATATCCTGGAATTATGGGTACACAGTTTGTAAAAAAAATAATTCATTTCAAGCAGCCACTTCCAGATTCATGCTTATTTTTACGAAAATTTCGAAAGCTTTGGGGTAAAATAGGAAAAAAAAACAAAAAAAAAAACAAAAAAAAAAAAAAAAAAAAAAAAAAAAAAACAATGCATTAAAGCGGCACGCCTAAAGATACGTGCTTATGTCATGGTTCAGAACTGTTCACAATAAAGCCTAGGGAAGATAGTGTTTAAGCGGTCGGATAGACCAGTGTGCGTTATTCCGAGGGCCCCGGGTTTGAGTCCTGTGACACTTATTTTCACAAAATCTTTAATTCCTAAGGGGGAAAAATTGTAAAAAATGCATTAAAAGCCGGACACCTCCAGATTCATGCTTATTTTCATTAAAATTTCGAATTTTTTAAAAAGTAAAATATTGAGAAGGAAACAAAGAAAAAAAATTTTTTCACATTGCAAACAAGAGTTACAACGTATGTTTATTACCAAAAATTTTTCAAAATATACAATAAAAGCCCTTAGTGTGTTAGTAAGTAGAAAATTGATAATAGTGATAATGGTGAAAAATACTGCGAAAGTGGTCATAAATTGGGAAATAACATGGAAATTACATGTACATGTATTAATTTTATCTTGAATTTTTTTTTTTTTTTTTACAAAAATCTCAGTACTTTTTTTCTCAAGTTTAATTTCTTGAAATATTTGGCTCTTGGGGGAGGGGGGGGGGGCATTCAACTTTAAAGGCACATTGTGCCTCAGAAATCAATCATTTTTATTTTTATAGAAAAGACAAACATGTGTTTAATATTGTTTTAATAATGAATTTGGATATGTTAATTTCCTTAAGAAAATAGGTTTGAATGTGCGATAATTTGTGGGAAGACCAGCATGACTGAGTGATTTATTACGAAGCATTTGAAGGATAAATTGTGCCTTATGTTACTTAGATGCAAGAAAAATTAATATTTATTTCAATTCTAACACAATTTCAATTCGTACATTCTAACATTAAAGAGAATGGATAAAGATATGTTGAACTATATTGGGTGTAGAAGTAATTTTCCTGAAGTCATTTGGTTAATTGACTTTATATTTGACTGTCATACTCTTGACATGTAAGCATTCCTTTCTTATATATTTTATTTGTGCATTATTACAGTCATAATAATGCACTTAATCACATGCCCTTCCCGATTTTGCGACTCCGTAGAAACGGTATTGCACGGCCGTGCATATATTTTGAAGTAACATCATTTTCGTTGTAAAGAGGCGCTAAATGTTAGCGTTAAACTATAGGCGCATTAATTGAAAATGGTCCTTTTTTACTTTAAACAGTTTTTTTTTATTTTGGGTATGTGATAAATAGAATATTAAATTTGTGCATGTTCAATACAAACTTTATTGAACTCAGAAAGGCTCGCATAATATTATTTTATTCAACTCGTTCAATAAATTCAGTATTAAACTAACACTCACTTAATATCCTCTATTAATTGACTGGCGAAAGTGCTAAGTGTGTTAAAACTATCATTTTATCATTTAACACCAAAACAGTTGTATGCATAATTATCTATAATTATTGTTTTATTTGTCTTGTATTGTTTTAGAAGCGGTCATGTTTTTATATTACCTGGAGGGAATTCAGGCAAAATTCTAATGATAAATCAAGCCAGTAACGCAGATCAGGGAGAGTATACATGTAAAGCAAGTAATTCTTTAGGGACAGCGTCTGCAACATCGTATGGTAAGTATATATACTATATGATAGTATTATTATATGCGTATCTTGACTTGGAACTTGATAACTCTGGTGAAACCTCTTTTCTTCATAAAAGTTTTTTTGAAATCATTTCCAAAAGTTCCACTGTGCCATATACATATACTTTTAATTTCGCATATGCCTTTGTGGAGACAATTTGCTCAATTCTTTGACTGTATACTTTCGCTTTTAAAGTAACATCACCGTGTTACTCATAATTCCAAATTATTTGGTATAAACAATTTCAGTCACCACCTAGAGTAGTGTACGTGTTTGTAACCATTAAATGGAATAAAGTCTAAAGTTATTAGTATGTGTTTCGTACATTGTTTATGGTCATTTTTAGTGGTTTATAAACTATTATATAGTCGTTATTATACAGTATTATTCTAATGTTTGGTGTGTGATTTACAAGTATGTACCTTGAAATTATAATATGAAAAATACAAAGCCTCAAAGCGAGCTAAATTTACTTTTACCATGAAATAGTAAAAAATAATCGTTCATTCTTATTCTACATTTTCCGTTTTAAAACTGTTATTCGTTATTATAAACACTGCTTCCGTTTATTCTGGTTCCCTGTCCTATTATGGTTCCTATAATAAAAGTGCGCAGGATATGAATCTATGCATCCGTTTTCAATCAGAATACTCGGCTCTTATCGTTATCTTAAATCAAAATCTTATTCGAAAAGTTGCGATGTGTCAATTCAGTACTTCCGACAAAGTTTTCAAAAACCATCACTATCTAGCAGGTACTCGCGTTACCGTCAAGCTCACTTTGCGAACAGGCCCTTTTGGCCAGATCCTCGAGCTCGCTATGAGGCACTTGTGTAAATGATGACAGTGTAAGGACAGTACATTAAAAACTGATATAATGAAATATGAAGATCTTAATATAAATTGATGAGTTGTTGTAGGATAACAATTATTGTCATTATTATATAGCTCACATAAACTTTTTATTATATATCCTAATGTGATGTCACTTGGTGTTTTATTTTTAATCTATCTTCCTCTAAATGAATATTACCCACTCGCACAGTAAATAATATTTTGAAAATGTAATGTTCTAGTTCTCTCTCTTTGTTGTAGTCAATGATGAATGGCTTTCGAACTAATAACATCGGTGAAAAATAACATTAAAATGTTGGTTCGGTATGATAAAAAAATAACACATGACTGTCTCTGAAGGTGATAGTGCATATTTAGTAACCCTTGTGCTGTTATATACCACCACGACTCCAAGAGAAGTGTTATTTTGATATAATATTGTTATATTGTTTATTTCAAGTTTATTCAAATGCTGGTGATGTGAAGTGTTTCGATGCCTTCACTGTTTGTTCATCAGAAATATGCGGGTAAGTAAAGTCATCACATGTATCATGTATTCACTTATGGTCATATCAAATCTGAGGGCAAACAAATTAATAAATTGATTCACTGTTTGTTGATAGAGGATAAATAGATCTAAATAACTGCTTTCTGACACATTTTATGTTAGACATAGCTATATGCTATTTTTATGCCCCCCACAAGGTGGGAGCATATAGCGTAGCACTTTTCCATCCGTCTGTCCGTCTGTCCGTACGAGTGTCCGTCCGTACGTCTGTCCGTCCGTACGTCCCGAAATCTTGTGAACGCAACTCCTCTAAAACCGGATCATCCAGGGATGAAAAACCTAAATGTGTAGATGGCAGTAGAGGAAGGAATTTTTGCTGCAACCAAATTTAACAGAATTATGGCCCTTTGTTGATTTAAAGTTTTCAACTTGTGGCACATGTAGTCCAAAAAATATTTGACCTAGAGTCATAAGATTGACAGAACAGTGGTGTGTGGGGGCATCCGTGTCCTATGCACACATTTCTAGTTGAAGACAATATCAACCTTGATATATATTTTATATACTCAGGGAAATTTCTTATTTATCTATGATTGGAAAATCAACTAAGGTATTGCAGGTTAAAATATTATACATTTGAATATATATATATTACTAATCAGTGGCAATTTCAAAGAAAAATTAAACAAGACAAACTCAATATTTAAAACTCACACTTTCAGCAGACAAACATGGTCATTTTACAATTAGTTAATACAGAATTGGCCAATTATACATAGTATTGGTTAACACACAGACTTTCTTAACACACATACTTTCTAAGTGCACATTCTTTGTAAACACACAATTTTATGTCAACACACAGAACCATTCAACTCACAATTTTAGTTTTTATGCAGACTTCAAAAATAATCAAACCTATTTGATAACACATTAACAGATGAACCATTTTTTGTACTTTTATTTTAGAGTTAACTGCCCAGCTAATTGTGCCTCAAGCCCAGCTAGTGTTAGCGGAGGTCCAGTACAGTATAGTAAGGTATGGCAATTATTATGTTTTTCTTTTTCCATCTGAAATATAACTAACGATATACATAGGCTTTGTTAACATTTTTGTATACATCTATTTTTAGTTAGGTAGGTCATAACAACAGATAATGATGATTACATTCATTTTAATGATTGTTCATCAACAAATCATTCTTTTTAAAGACACATTATGCCAAAGAAATGCTTTGATTTTAGCTCACCGAACTCGAAGGCAGTATCAATGGGCGATGCTCTGGTGTCCTGAATCATGTGTCAACATTCTTCTTCTTCTTCTCTTAAACCGCTGGGCAGATTAACTTCAAATTTGGTCCGTAGCATCCTTGTGACAGTCACACTTAAATTTGCTCACATCATTTCAATTGGCCGCTTTTTATGGGTCAACAGAGCTAGAAATAGAAAAAAAAACATTTTAAATATTCTCTTCTTCTGAACTCATTGACGGATGATCACCTAACTTGTTCTGTAGCAATTTAGGTAGTCTTTTATCAAATTTGCTCATATAAATTTGATTGGACCCTTTTAGGGGCCACTAAAGCTACTAGTATTCAGCAAGTTCATTTGAAAATTTTTTTAAAACACTGAAAAACAGTTGTTTCTGGTGAGCGATCCAGGCCTTTCATGGCCATCTTGTTTTATCAAAAGGGTTTATCATATTCTGATTTTGCTACGATAAGCCCTTGTTAGAATATTTTTGTTAATTAAAGTGGCCAGACTTTAAACCAAACCAATACAGGTAAATTATCAAAAAGAGGTCAAAATATGCAACAATTTTGAATCTTGAAATCTTTTTAATTTTCTTTTAATCTGAGAACGTTGTTATCAAGTTTGATTTTCTTGAAATATTTTGGCTTATCTGGAGGCATGATACTTTAAGAAATATTGTTGTTATAAAGGTATCAAGTGTTTGTAAGAGTGGATTGAGCAGTGGCGTTATAACCAATGCAGGAGGGACAGTTATTTGGAAGAACACAAACATGGCGGTTCTACTTGGAGTTAATCAGACTTCAACAACTCCTTAATCTTAAAGGTACAACGAAAACTAATAACATAAAATAGTTTTGAAACAATAATGTAGATCAAGATATGTTTCTTCTGTTCTAAATCTACCTTCTTTTCCTAGTAAACTGCATTTTTTCTTAACATTAATGTAAGCTCTTCTACTGACAAATATTTGACATATTCATTATTTACAACATTAAATCAACTTCCTTGATGACATTAAATCAGCATCCATGACGACAATAAATCATCATCATTGACTACAATAAATCAGCGTCCTTGACAATATTAAATCAGCGTCCTTGATAACATAAAATCAGCGTCCTTGACGACATTAAATCAGCGTCATTGATAACATGAAATCAATTCCTTGATGACATTATTTCAGCGTCCTTGACAATATTAAATCAGCGTCCTTGATAACATAAAATCAGCGTCCTTGACGACATTAAATTAGCGCCCTTGACAATATTAAATCAGCTTCCTTAATTTTATTAGATCAGCGCCCTTGACGACATTAAATCAGCGTCCTTGACGACATTAAATCAGCGTCATTGATAACATTAAATCAATTCCTTGATGACATTAAATCAGCGTCCTTGACGACATTAAATCATCGTCCTTGATGACATTAAATCAGCGTTCTTGACGACAATAAATCATCGTCCTTGACGACATTAAATCATCATCATTGATGACATTAAATCAGCGTCCTTGACGAAATTAAATCAGCGTCCTTGACGACAATAAAGCATCGTCCTTGACGACATTAAAACATCAGTATTGACGACCTTAAATCAGCGCACTTGATGAAATCAAATTAGCGTCCGTGACGTCCTTGTAGCACATATTCATTATCACTCATGTACAGACTCAATCAAACCGAGTCTGCAATTCTCTTGTAATTTGGTTGTGATTAATGTTTACGAGGGGTCATTTTGTTTCCACAGATTTAAATCAGCTACGTTGATAACATTAAATCAGCTTCCTTGATGACATTAAATCAGCGTCATTGACTATATATAATCAGCGTCATTGACTTCATTAAATCATCATCCTTGACTGTATTAAATCAGCGTCTTTGACAACATTAAAACATCGTTCTTGACAACATTAAAGCAGCGTCTTTGATGCAATAAAATCATTATCCTTTGCAAAAATAAGTCAGTGTTCTTGACTTTATTAAAATTGTTATCATTGACAACATGAAATCAGCGCCCTTGCCTACATTAAATTAACGTCAATGAGAACATTAAAACGTCGTCCTTGACAACATTATATCAGCGTCCTACATTTAGTGAAATTGAAATCAAGTTTGACAAAATTTAATGTTATTTTAATTTTACCATTACCCATACCATTTCTTCTTTGATGGGCATAATGTCACTTCAATTCTTTTATACTGGTTATGTATGCGTGGTAAAATATGTACAAATAATATATAAAGTATATGAACCATTTTGTCTGTTGCTTGTACTTTGTAAAATTTACTTTTTTTATTTTATTTATACAGACTGAAAAACATGGTGGACCGGGGAAACATGCTCGACTTAAAAAGTCTGTTTTCTTTGCAGATATGTTATACTGTTAATAATAAAAGTTGAATAAAAACCTTCATTTGACGTTTTTTATAGATGTTGATAATTAATTACATTTGTACATGTATAAAGATAGTAATTCTTTTACATTAAGTCTAACCAAAGGGTTCGAGATTAACTCTATTTCAATACATCTTCTATATTGCATAATATAATCGGGGTATTTATATTTTATCAATGTGCCTGTTCGCCGTTCTTCATCTAAAAGAAAGGATACGTCAGCTGACTTGTTCAAGTTATCATTTTTTTATTATTGTTTGTAAAAAAACACTTTTTAAATGTATTCCGTCCTTCTAGAATCAAATGCAGATGACTGTGTACCTTCATTTGTTAATTTTTACAGATAATGATATTTCCCCACAAATATGTACATAACAAAGCTACTGGCACTTACGTTTAGAAAACATGTACACCATTTTTCCTTTGCATGCGAGCTGCATGCTGTATATCTCATTTGACTGATGATCTAGTGTTTAACTTAACAAAACAAGTTGAATCATTGTTTTCGATTCTATTGTATGTCTTACATAAAGTACAGTTTCTTCGTTGATAAGTAAACGGTGTGAATTACATAATAATACCCCCACAAACAAGGTTTGAAGGGTAAAGTGGAGTCAGCTTGTAAGTCTTCTTCGTGGTTTGAGAGTTGAGAATGAATTATTGTTATCAAACTTGTCATATAACATCCTAATATAGAAACACCGATTGTTATTGCTTTTAGACGGTGGGTTAACTGCAGTAAGAACCCGTTAAATGGCCTATCACCGGGGGTTGTGTTAGCATTTATGCATTCTCTAAGGCTATCACCACTTGTTAGCTTGCAATAAGAACGCTCTAAAAGGCCTATCACCGTGGGTTGTGTGAGCTTTACTTCATTCCTTGAGGCTATCAGCGTGGGTAACCTTGCGATAAAAATCCAATAAAAGGCCAATCATAGTGGGTTGTGTGAGCTTTGATGCACTCTATGACACTATCACTGGGTTAACGTTCGATAAAAACCATTTTAAAAGCTTATCACTGTTGGCTAACTTAAGAAAAGTTTAAAGACCCTCATATTTTATCAACCCGGTTTATGTGACTTTACTTCATTCCCTGAGACTACAACCGTTGTTCTAATTGCGATAAGAACCCTCTAAAATGCCTATCAACGTCAGTTGTGTGTTTTACTGCATTCCTTGAGGCTTTAACCATGGGAAAACTTGCAATAGGAACCATCTAAAAGTCCTATCAATGTGGGTTGTATGACATTCTCTTTATTCCCTGACGCTATCACCATAGGTTAACTTGAGATAGAACCCTTTTAAAGGCCTATAGCCGGGGTTGTTTCAGCTTCACTGCATTCCTGAGGCTATCAACGTGAGTCAACGTGTGATAAGAACTCTTTATAGGGCCTATAACCAGGGTTTATTTGACATTTACTGCATTCCCTGAAGCTATCACCTTGGGTCAACTTGCTATCAGAACGCTCTAAAAGCCTACCAACGTGGGTTGTGTGAGTAAACTGTATATCCTGATGCTATCACCGTTGGTTTACTTGCGATAAGAACCCTCTTAAAGGGTTTTCACCGTGGTTTATGTGAGCTTTACTGCATTCACTGAGGCTATAACTGACGGTTTAATTACGATATGAACCCTCTAATAGGCCTATCAGCGATGGTTGTGTAAGAATTTCTGCATTTCCTGAGACCATAACCGTTTGTTTAATTCCGATAAAAATCCTCTAAAAGGCCAAAAACCTTGGGTTGTGTGTGTTTACTGCATTCCTGGAGACTATAACAGTTGGTTTAATAGAAATAAGAACCCTCTAAAAGACCTATGACCGTGGGTTGTTTGAGTTTTTCTTTATTCCCTGACGCTGACACAATGGGTCAACTTGCGATAAGAACATTTTAAAACGCCTATTATCGTGGGTTGTTTGGGCTTGACTGCATTCCCTGAAGCTATCACCTTGGGTCATCTTGCGAAAGGCACGCTCTAAAAGGCCTATCACCGTGGGTTGTAATAGCTTAACTGCATTCCTTGAAGCTATCAGCGTGGGTTTCCGTGCGACATGAACCCTCTAAAAGACCTATCACCGAGGGTATTGTGAGCTTTACTGCATTCCCTTGAGGCTATGTGTGGGTCAACTTGCGACAAGATCCTTTTAAAAAAGCCTATCACAGGGGTTGTTTGAGCTTTATTGCATTCCCTGAAGCTATTACCGCGGATCAACATCCGATAAGACGCTCTAAAATCGCCGTGGTTTAAATGAGCTTGACTGCATTCCTTGAAGCAATCTGCTTGGGTAACTTTGCGATATGAACCCTCTAAAAGTCCAATCACCTTGGTTTTGTGAGTTTCACTGCATTCTCTGAGGCTATTATCTTCGGTTTACTTGCGATAAGAACCGTAGGTTGTGTGTGTAAACTGCATTCCCTAAGGCTATAACCGTGGGTTAACTTGCAATAGGAACCTTCTAAATTGCCTATCAACGAGGGCTGTGTGAGATTTACTGCATTCTGTGAGACTAGTCGTTGGTTTTATTGCGATAAGAAACCTTTTAAAGACCGTGTATGAGTGTTTCTTTATTCCCTGACGCTATTACCATGGGTTAACTTGAGATAGAACCCTTAAAAAGGCCTATCACCTGGGTTGTTTGAGCTTTACTACATTCCTTGAGGCTTTAAACGTTGGAAAACTTGCAATAAAACCCTTTAAATGCTTATCAACGGGGTTTGTTTGAACGTTTAAGAATTTTCTGAACCTATAACCGTTTGTAGGCTTGCGATAAAGACGCTCTAAAAGGCCTTTCATCGTTGATATGAGCAGTACTTCATTTTTTTGAAGTTCTCAGCGTGAGTAGCCTTGCGATATGAACCCTCTATTGTTTGTTTGTTTGTTTGTTTCAATTTACGCCTTTTCCCAACGGTATTCCAGTCATATAGGCGGGTAGTTTCCTAACCATCGTTCCTGGAGAGTGACACCAGTACTAGACTACCTTCCTCCGCGCTAAACTACCAAAGCATCTATCGCGGATCGAAACCATGCCAGAGAGGGAACTGGATTAGAAGTCATCGACTTTAACCCCTCGACCACGGGGCGGTTAGATATTTGTGGGTTAACTTGCGATAGGTACCCTCTTAAAGGCGGGTTGAGTCAGATTTACTGCATTTCCTGAGACCATTACCGTTAGTTTAATTGCGATAGGAACCCTCTAAAAGGCCTATCACAGAGGACTGTGGTGTGTGTTTACTGCATTCCCTGAAGCTATAACTGTGGGTTCACTTGCGATAGAACCCTCTAGTTATCCTTTTAACGTGGCTTGTGTGAGCTTTACTCTTCATTTCCTGAGGCAATCACCTTGATTAATTTGCGATAAGAACCCTTTGAAAAGCCTATCACCGTGGGTTGTGTAAGTTTTTCTTTATTCCCTGACGCTAACACCATGGGTTAATTTAAGATATACTTTATTAAAGGCTTTTAAACGGGGGTTATATGAGCTTAACTGCATTCCTTGAAGCTACCACCATGGGTTTCCTTGCAATATGAACCCTCTAAAATGTCTATCACTGTGGTTGGTGTAAGCTTTACTTTATTTCTTCATTTCCTCAGGCACTCACCTTAATTAATTTGCGATAAGAACCCTTTGCAAAGCCTATCGCCGTGGATTTTCTTTAATTCCTGACGCTAACACCATTGGTTAAGTTGAGATATACTCTATTAAAGGCATTTAACGGGGGTTTACTGCATTCATTGAAGCTACCGTCATGGGTTTCCTTGCGATATGAACCCTCTGTAATGCATATCAGCGTGGGTTGTGTGAGCTTGACTGCTTTCCTTGAATCTATCACCATTGGTCAACTTGCGATAAGAACGCTTTACAAGGTCGATCACCGTAGATTATATGAGCTTTACTGCATTCCTTAAAACTATCAGCGTGGGTAACCTTGCGATATGAACCTTCTAAAAGGCCCATCACCTTGGGTTAAGTGTTTGTTAAATTTCGATAGGAACCCTCTAAAAGACTTATCACCGTGGGTTGCATTAGATGAGTCTATAACAGCGGGTTTCCTTGCGATATGAACCCTCTTAAGGTCTCATCAACGTGGGTTGTGTGATCTTTACTGCATTCCCTGAGACTATAACCGCGGGTCTACTTACGATAAGAATCCTTTATAAGGCCTGTCACCGCGGGTTGTGTGAGCTTGACTGCATTCCATGGAGCTATCACCGTGGGCCGGCTATTATTTATAATAACTTTATCCGAATTTGACGGAAAGGGCCGAGAGGATGCGATTGTGCGTGCACCGTACGTACCGGTACCTGAATATTATATTAGACAAACGTGCAAACTGTTGAGCATTTGTTTCGATTACAATTTAAAACAGTTATGCATAAAAGTAACACGCAATTGACTGATTGATAACATTCAGTTCAATTTCGTATGCTTCAAAGCACATTGTATGCCTTACTGCATCGCCAAATATCTGTGATTCTTATGTCACAGGGTCATTTGTCACTATATATATATATACCTTACCATAATTATATCCTATATGGCATATAGTGCATTTCTTATAAATATATTCTTCCTTGTCCATCCACTCTTCATCTCGTATTTACCCAATATCCTGATATCATTCCTCATATATCATACACTAACTATAGTAACTAAACTATGGTGACAGGCTTCAAATTTACGCTCATAATTTATCGCCAGGCATGCGCACAGCAGATTTGAAATACAGTTGTTGTCTTCAAATTTTCGCTCATAATTTACCGCCAGGCATGCGCACGGCAGATTTGAAATACCGTTGTTGAAGTGAAAACGTAACTCCTATCTTTGTGATTCTTTATTTATTATTTGGCTGTCTCTGTGTGCTTTGCAGTCCCAACACAGAAGAGAACATACAGAATCATTCATCAATATAGAACGCTTAATAGCCCACTGAGTTGGTTCAGAATGAGCTTTTCGGATAGTTGATCGTCCGTCCACATTTAGTTTTTGACCACTAGACTGTTTTGCCTCAATTTGTCAAA